CCCTCACATAACCTTCATCCACACCATCAAATAACCTTCATCCCACACCCTCACATAACCTTCATCCACACTATCACATAACCTTCATCCACACCATCACATAACCTTCATCCACAACCATCACATAACCTTCATCCACACCATCACATAACCTTCATCCACACCATCACATAACCTTCATCCACACCCTCACATAACCTTCATCCACACCATCACATAACCTTTATCCACACCATCACATAACCTTCATCCACACCATCACATAACCTTCAACCACACCCTCACATAACCTTCATCCACACCCTCACATAACCTTCATCCACACCCTCACATAACCTCATCCACACCCTCACATAACCTTCATCCACACCATCACATAACCTTCATCCACACCCTCACATAACCTTCATCCCACACCATCACATAACCTTCATCCACACCCTCACATAACCTTCATCCACACCCTCACATAACCTTCATCCACACCATCACATAACCTTCATCCACACCCTCACATAACCTTCATCCACACCATCACATAACCTTCATCCACACCATCACATAACCTTCATCCACACCATCACATAACCTTCATCCACACCCTCACATAACCTTCATCCACACCCTCACATAACCTTCATCCACACCCTCACATAACCTTCATCCACACCATCACATAACCTTCATCCACACCATCACATAACCTTCATCCACACCCTCACATAACCTTCATCCACACCCTCACATAACCTTCATCCACACCCTCACATAACCTTCATCCACACCATCACATAACCTTCATCCACACCATCACATAACCTTCATCCACACCATCACATAACCTTCATCCACACCCTCACATAACCTTCATCCACACCCTCACATAACCTTCATCCACACCATCACATAACCTTCATCCACACCATCACATAACCTTCATCCACACCATCACATAACCTTCATCCACACCCTCACATAACCTTCATCCACACCCTCACATAACCTTCATCCACACCCTCACATAACCTTCATCCACACCCTCACATAACCTTCATCCACACCCTCACATAACCTTCATCCACACCGTCACATAACCTTCATCCACACCCTCACATAACCTTCATCCACACCCTCACATAACCTTCATCCACACCCTCACATAACCTTCATCCACACCATCACATAACCTTCATCCACACCCTCACATAACCTTCATCCCACACCATCACATAACCTTCATCCACACCCTCACATAACCTTCATCCACACCCTCACATAACCTTCATCCACACCATCACATAACCTTCATCCACACCCTCACATAACCTTCATCCACACCATCACATAACCTTCATCCACACCATCACATAACCTTCATCCACACCATCACATAACCTTCATCCACACCCTCACATAACCTTCATCCACACCCTCACATAACCTTCATCCACACCATCACATAACCTTCATCCACACCATCACATAACCTTCATCCACACCATCACATAACCTTCATCCACACCCTCACATAACCTTCATCCACACCATCAAATAACCTTCATCCACACCCTCACATAACCTTCATCCACACTATCACATAACCTTCATCCACACCATCACATAACCTTCATCCACACCATCACATAACCTTCATCCACACCATCACATAACCTTCATCCACACCATCACATAACCTTCATCCACACCCTCACATAACCTTCATCCACACCATCACATAACCTTCATCCACACCATCACATAACCTTCATCCACACCATCACATAACCTTCATCCACACCCTCACATAACCTTCATCCACACCATCACATAACCTTCATCCACACCATCACATAACCTTCATCCACACCCTCACATAACCTTCATCCACACCATCACATAACCTTCATCCACACCCTCACATAACCTTCATCCACACCCTCACATAACCTTCATCCACACCATCACATAACCTTCATCCACACCCTCACATAACCTTCATCCACACCATCACATAACCTTCATCCACACCATCACATAACCTTCATCCACACCATCACATAACCTTCATCCACACCCTCACATAACCTTCATCCACACCCTCACATAACCTTCATCCACACCATCACATAACCTTCATCCACACCATCACATAACCTTCATCCACACCATCACATAACCTTCATCCACACCCTCACATAACCTTCATCCACACCATCACATAACCTTCATCCACACCCTCACATAACCTTCATCCACACCATCACATAACCTTCATCCACACCATCACATAACCTTCATCCACACCATCACATAACCTTCATCCACACCATCACATAACCTTCATCCACACCATCACATAACCTTCATCCACACCCTCACATAACCTTCATCCACACCATCACATAACCTTCATCCACACCCTCACATAACCTTCATCCACACCCTCACATAACCTCTTCATCCACCACCATCACATAACCTTCATCCACACCATCACATAACCTTCATCCACACCCTCACATAACCTTCATCCACACCCATCACATAACCTTCATCCACACCCTCACATAACTTCATCCACACCCTCACATAACCTTCATCCACACCCTCACATAACCTTCATCCACACCCTCACATAACCTTCATCCACACCATCACATAACCTTCATCCACACCATCACATAACCTTCATCCACACCATCACATAACCTTCATCCACACCCTCACATAACCTTCATCCACACCCTCACATAACCTTCATCCACACCCTCACATAACCTTCATCCACACCATCACATAACCTTCATCCACACCATCACATAACCTTCATCCACACCCTCACATAACCTTCATCCACACCCTCACATAACCTTCATCCACACCCTCACATAACCTTCATCCACACCATCACATAACCTTCATCCACACCATAACCTTCATCCACACCCTCACATAACCTTCATCCACACCCTCACATAACCTTCATCCACACCCTCACATAACCTTCATCCACACCCTCACATAACCTTCATCCACACCCTCACATAACCTTCATCCACACCGTCACATAACCTTCATCCACACCCTCACATAACCTTCATCCACACCCTCACATAACCTTCATCCACACCCTCACATAACCTTCATCCACACCATCACATAACCTTCATCCACACCCTCACATAACCTTCATCCACACCATCACATAACCTTCATCCACACCCTCACATAACCTTCATCCACACCCTCACATAACCTTCATCCACACCATCACATAACCTTCATCCACACCCTCACATAACCTTCATCCACACCATCACATAACCTTCATCCACACCATCACATAACCTTCATCCACACCATCACATAACCTTCATCCACACCCTCACATAACCTTCATCCACACCCTCACATAACCTTCATCCACACCATCACATAACCTTCATCCACACCATCACATAACCTTCATCCACACCATCACATAACCTTCATCCACACCCTCACATAACCTTCATCCACACCATCAAATAACCTTCATCCACACCCTCACATAACCTTCATCCACACTATCACATAACCTTCATCCACACCATCACATAACCTTCATCCACACCATCACATAACCTTCATCCACACCATCACATAACCTTCATCCACACCATCACATAACCTTCATCCACACCCTCACATAACCTTCATCCACACCATCACATAACCTTCATCCACACCATCACATAACCTTCATCCACACCATCACATAACCTTCATCCACACCTCACATAACCTTCATCCACACCATCACATAACCTTCATCCACACCATCACATAACCTTCATCCACACCATCACATAACCTTCATCCACACCATCACATAACCTTCATCCACACCCTCACATAACCTTCATCCACACCCTCACATAACCTTCATCCATCCACACCATCACATAACCTTCATCCACACCATCACATAACCTTCATCCACACCATCACATAACCTTCATCCACACCATCACATAACCTTCATCCACACCCTCACATAACCTTCATCCACACCATCACATAACCTTCATCCACACCCTCACATAACCTTCATCCACACCATCACATAACCTTCATCCACACCATCACATAACCTTCATCCACACCATCACATAACCTTCATCCACACCATCACATAACCTTCATCCACACCATCACATAACCTTCATCCACACCCTCACATAACCTTCATCCACACCATCACATAACCTTTATCCACACCATCACATAACCTTCATCCACACCATCACATAACCTTCATCCACACCCTCACATAACCTTCATCCACACCATCACATAACCTTCATCCACACCCTCACATAACCTTCATCCACACCCTCACATAACCTTCATCCACACCCTCACATAACCTTCATCCACACCATCACATAACCTTCTTATCCACAACCATCACATAACCTTCATCCACACCATCACATAACCTTCATCCACACCCTCACATAACCTTCATCCACACCCTCACATAACCTTCATCCACACCCTCACATAACCTTCATCCACACCATCACATAACCTTCATCCACACCATCACATAACCTTCATCCACACCCTCACATAACCTTCATCCACACCCTCACATAACCTTCATCCACACCCTCACATAACCTTCATCCACACCCTCACATAACCTTCATCCACACCCTCACATAACCTTCATCCACACCCTCACATAACCTTCATCCACACCATCACATAACCTTCATCCACACCATCACATAACCTTCATCCACACCATCACATAACCTTCATCCACACCCTCACATAACCTTCATCCACACCCTCACATAACCTTCATCCACACCATCACATAACCTTATCCACACCATCACATAACCTTCATCCACACCATCACATAACCTTCATCCACACCCTCACATAACCTTCATCCACACCCTCACATAACCTTCATCCACACCCTCACATAACCTTCATCCACACCCTCACACGCGAGCGACAGGACCCAGCATACAAAACATGGTGAGTCGAGACGAGTTGAAGTGCAGAGGCGCCCTCCAGTCCGGATTGGAGTTGATGCCATCGTTGCTGGGAGGGAATGGTGGGGGAGAGGGAGGAAACACGGGGAAGGAGAAGATGGAAGTCTGGGAGGCGTAGAGAAGAAGGGGAGTTGGGGAGCAAGGGGATTTGGGGAGCAAGGGGATTTGGGGAGCAAGGGGATTTGGGGAGCAAGGGGAATTGGGGAGCAAGGGGAATTGGGGAGCAAGGGGAATTGGGGAGCAAGGGGAATTGGGGAGCAAGGGGAATTGGGGAGCAAGGGGAATTGGGTAGCAAGGGGAATTGGGGAGCTAGGGCAATTGGTGTAAAAGCGTGAGCAATCAGGACCAGAAAAACATGAGAAATGGCGTGAGCGAAAGGGGGGCGAGCATACGAGCCGGGGATGAAGAAGAGGTTCCACTCCTTTGTGGGGTCATCCGTGGTTGTCGCTGCCACTATCAGCCCTGAGCCCACTGTCACGTTGCCTCGCCTCCTCGTCTGCCCAAACTTGTCATACGTGTTGTTGGCACCCCCGGACTGGGAGTGGGGAGGGATGGGAATGGGAGGGAGGGCGATGTTTGAGAGTGTAATCAGAGGAAGGACAATGAGAAGGAAGAGAATGGCTGAGGAAATCGAGCAGAAGAGAATGAAGGAGGAAAACGAGAGGGAGAGAATGGGGTCTAGGAATGACGAGGGTTAAAGGAGATTGTTGTTAAACCTACATGTTTTTATCCCCCCTGAATCAACACAAAGGACCGTTTGAGAGAGGAATACGAGAGGGAGTACAATACTCCAAGAGGGGGGAAAGGTTCGTACTGGGAAAGTGGCGCGAGGAGGGAGGAAACAAGAGAGGGAGGAATCAACCTTAGGGAGGAAATGAGGGAGGTGGGAATGCCGTGGCAGGATCAGCGCTCAATACTTGGGTGAATGGCTCAAGACCAAGGCTATGCCACACCCACAGTCCAGAAGGTGGAGAGGTAGAAGCGCTTTGCCTGGCGGTCATACGTGCATGTCATGTCGCCGATGCTGTCGCTAAACGCTGATGTGCTGGCTTCATTCAGCACCCAGCAGCACCCAGCAGCACCGCACAGCACCGCACGCTCTAGTGCACCCCCACCACGACTCACAGTCCAGTAGGTGGAGAGGTAGAAACGCCTGGCCCGGGGGTCATATGTGCATCTCATGTCGCCAATGTCTCCGAACACTGATGCGTTGGATTCATCCAGCACCCAGCAGCACCCAGCAGCACCGAGCCGCAGCCAGCAGCACCCAGCAGCACCGCACACTCTAGTGCATCACCACCACCCACTCACAGTCCAGTAGGTGGAGAGGTAGAAACGCCTGGCCCGGGGGTCATATGTGCATCTCACGTCGCCAATGTCTCCGAACACTGATGCGTTGGATTCATCCAGCACCCAGCAGCACCCAGCAGCACCGAGCCGCAGCCAGCAGCACCCAGCAGCACCCCACACTCTAGTGCATCACCACCACCCACTCACAGTCCAGTAGGTGGAGAGGTAGAAACGCCTGGCCCGGGGGTCATATGTGCATCTCACGTCGCCAATGTCTCCGAACACTGATGCGTTGGATTCATCCAGCACCCAGCAGCACCCAGCAGCACCGAGCCGCAGCCAGCAGCACCCAGCAGCACCCCACACTCTAGTGCATCACCACCACCCACTCACAGTCCAGTAGGTGGAGAGGTAGAAACGCCTGGCCCGGGGGTCATATGTGCATCTCACGTCGCCAATGTCTCCGAACACTGATGCGTTGGATTCATCCAGCACCCAGCAGCACCCAGCAGCACCGAGCCGCAGCCAGCAGCACCCAGCAGCACCGCACACTCTAGTGCATCACCACCACCCACTCACAGTCCAGTAGGTGGAGAGGTAGAAGCGCTTGGCCTGGCGGTCATATGTGCATGTCATGTCGCCGATGCTGTCCCCGAATACTGATGCGTTGAGAGGCTGTCTCCTCTCCACCACTGATGGTAGAACCCCGAAGAACTGGCGTGGGGGCCGTGAAAGGAGGGGTGGGTGGTGGGATGGTAGGATGGTGTCAGTTTATTAGTTGATTACTGATGTGTTGAGAGGCTCTCTCCTCTCCACCACTGATGGCAGGACCTTGAAAATCTGGTGGGATGATTGTGGAGGGAGGGAGGGCGGACGGTGGGATTGTGTTGGTGTGTGAAGAAGTTTGTTACTGTACCATCGATGGCGGCACCCTGACGAAGTGACAGCAAGGGAGGAGAGGGGCAGCGGGTGATCGGGGCCCTTGTCGCCCGCTCCACCCGCTGCTGCGGGTGGAGTGTGTGGTGCGGGTGGAGTGTGTGGTGAGGGTGGAGTGTGTGGTGCGGGTGGAGTGTGTGGTGCGGGTGGAGTGTGTGGTGCGGGTGGAGGAGTGTGTGGTGCGGGTGGAGGAGTGTGTGGTGCGGGTGGAGGAGTGTGTGGTGCGGGTGGAGGAGTGTGTGGTGCGGGTGGAGGAGTGTGTGGTGCGGGTGGAGGAGTGTGTGGTGCGGGTGGAGGAGTGTGTGGTGCGGGTGGAGGAGTGTGTGGTGCGGGTGGAGGAGTGTGTGGTGCGGGTGGAGGAGTGTGTGGTGCGGGTGGAGGAGTGTGTGGTGCGGGTGGAGGAGTGTGTGGTGCGGGTGGAGGAGTGTGTGGTGCGGGTGGAGGAGTGTGTGGTGCGGGGTGGAGGAGTGTGTGGTGCGGGTGGAGGAGTGTGTGGTGCGGGTGGAGGAGTGTGTGGTGCGGGTGGAGGAGTGTGTGGTGCGGGTGGAGGAGTGTGTGGTGCGGGTGGAGGGAGTTTGTGTGGTGCGGGTGGAGGAGTGTGTGTTGCGGGTGGAGGAGTGTGTGGTGCGGGTGAGGAGTTGTGTGGTGCGGGTGGAGGAGTGTGTGGTGCGGGTGGAGGAGTGTGTGGTGCGGGTGGAGGAGTGTGTGGTGCGGGTGGAGGAGTGTGTGGTGCGGGTGGAGGAGTGTGTGGTGCGGGTGGAGGAGTGTGTGGTGCGGGTGGAGGAGTGTGTGGTGCGGGTGGAGGAGTGTGTGGTTGCGGGTGGAGGAGTGTGTGGTGCGGGTGGAGGAGTGTGTGGTGCGGGTGGAGGAGTGTGGAGTGTGTGGTGCGGGTGGAGGAGTGTGTGGTGCGGGTGGAGGAGTGTGTGGTGCGGGTGGAGGAGTGTGTGGTGCGGGTGGAGGAGTGTGTGGTGCGGGTGGAGGAGTGTGTGGTGCAGGGTTGTGGAGGAGAGGCAGAGCGAGGGCGAGAGAGGGAGTGGGAGGAAGATTGAAAAGAGGCCCGCATTTGACATCGATGGTGAGAGTGGGAGACAGAAGACGAGAGAACGAGAGAGGGGGGGGACACAGAGCATGGCATTTAGGAGCATGCCAGAGGTGCACATGTCTGCACTCACGTTGTCTTGCATGCGAGCGAACATGATTGCTTTAGCACTTGCCTCGTTGTGTGGGATGATGCGAGTGAGCTGCTTCCCTTGCTTGTCATACACAACCATTGCTGCCATGGGGGCGCATAGGGTGGGGGGGTAAGGGGAATGGGTGGGGGAGGAGAAAGCAGTCAAAAGGAATCGAGTGAGAATAGGGAGGGAGATGCAAGTGAGTGAGCTGCTTCCCTTGCTTGTCATACACAACCATCGCTGCCAGGGGGGGCGAGTAGGAGGGGAGGAGAGGGAGTGGGAGTGGGGGAAGATGGAGGGGATGTGGGGGGTGAAAATGATCGAAAGGAATGGAGCAGCGCGGCAGTGAATGCAAGAGGAAGCAGGTGAAAGAAACGCTTACCAACGTTGACAGTGTGAAGGATGTTTCCGTTGCCCACACACGGAGCGACGTCAGGAGGAAAAGCACGGACCTCTGAGACGCCTCAAAAGGAAGAGAGGCTTACCAACGTTGACAGTGTGAAGGATGTATCCGTTGCCCACACACAGAGCAACGTCAGGAGGGCTCACAACGACCTGAAACGTAACAAGGAGCATATTTAGTGTTCAATTCATGCACGTCCAAAATCAGCACTGTATACTTAAAAGCACGTTTCTTACCACTGTATTGTTGTAATTAGGCGTTGTACCGCTCATTACTCCGCTGTACTCGCTTATACCGGGAAACCCAACCGCCGGTTTCCGCTTCACCACTTGTTTCAGCTCTGTCGTGCGCGCCGAGAATTCCCCCACCTCCGCCAATCGCTCCTCCTGTTTTGGGAAACGCGGGAGGAAAGAAAACCTTTAGAACCTCGCCCATTGCGAGAGGCGTACGGCGCATCGGCTTTTGCCAAAAATGTAAATACTGTATTACATCAGCAAAGAGTGGGAGAAAGGACACTTGGCGCGCAAGGATACGTGGCTCCGCGAACGGGTACACACTCAGGCCATTGGCTCCTGGGTACGTCGCAACGACCAACCCTGAGCGGCCACAGTGGCGAACCCCAACCGGCCTCAGCTGTTGGATGAAAGCTGTCATGGCGACAAATGGCAAGGTAATGACCGTACACGTAATGCGGCCGTCTCGTTACATGTACCGGCCACGTGTGCGTGTACGGTTCGTTGGGGAAGGTGACATTTAAGCGACGCGTGGGTGACGGACTCGGCTGCTGAGTGCATGTTTCGTTTTACGTGACTTTGGAGCGCAGGGTAGTCGCAACATGGGCGAGGTGTTTCGGTAGCTTTGACGTTGAAAGTTGGGTCACGTTGACTCTGTTGCTTTTGACCATGACTGGAAAGCTACTTGGTTTTCGCATCTCGAAAGTGGCATATGTGTCACTTTTGCGTTGCTTTTCTGGCTTGTGTTTTCCGCGATGAATATACTGTCCTAAAATCGCACCCTGAACCGTAACCTCCGAGTCGCGAGCCTACCATCTGTTGCTCCAGCGGATCCACAGCGGGAGCCGGCGCGCTCGCAGGGGCTGCGGCGGGCGCAGACGCGGGGCTCCCCTGATCGCCGCCGGCGTTTGCGGCTTCCATTCCGCCGCCGCGGAGCCGCGCAAGCAGCTCCTCCTTGCGCGTCTCCATGGAGTCGCGCGGGCCGTCCGCGATCCCCGCGCTCGAATCGCCTCCGCTGTTGTCATAACCGGTGCTGTTGCCGTGGCTTCCGCTGTTATCTCCGCCGCTGTTATCTCCGCCGCTGTTATCTCCGCCGCCGTTACTATCTCCGCCGCTGTTATCTCCTTCGCTGTTCCCACCGTTTCCAACGTCTTCAAACGGCGGCAGCTGCGCGGTTCCGGCGAACCAGAGGTTCTCCGACAGCTTGAACACCTCCACGCGGTCGTTCGATCCGCGCATCGGCGCAATCACGACGCGCGACGCTGCATTCGCTCCCCGCGGCGGAGCTAGCAGCAGTAAAAGCGCGAGCAGCAGTGCGGCGTGATAACAGAGGCGAGGGGAGGCCTGGTGAGGAGCCATTGCGCTGGGGCTCTTAGCAGAAGTGAACAATGGTTGAAGCTGTGAACATACAACGTTGATGCTTCTACATAAGGGGCATAAGGGGCCATTTTGCTGTTGATTTGTTTGTGAGGGTGGCGGGGCAGTGTGCGTCGATGAGCGTCTCGCATAGGAAACCGCATGTGGACATTGCTCGGTGGGGAGGTTTGTGGGATGTTGTTTGGCGTTGACAAACATCTACTGTACGAGCCACAGCCCCACCGTCTGTCAGGATGAAAGTTGTGCGGTAGGAGTCGGTAGGAGTCCCGTTTCCCCACCAGTTGGTTGACTTTTGTTCCCAGCAATTTCCGGCCCATGTACTGTTTTCCCGTTGTCGGGAGAGTGTTTTCCTAAAACCCACACTGGTACAGGAGCCTACATACACATGATGCTCACTCCCTGCACGCGAAATTGCCCTGTACCGGATGGAAACCTTGCACCCGTGGGTTTTGTGCCGTGAAGTTGCACCCTACTTACAAGCACCTCGAGCAAGTTGCAGAGATTTGAACCAATCGTAACCACAGAAACCGAAGCTTGACTGAAGAGACCGAAGTCAAACAGTCAACGGTAAGTTACAATGTTTTTTATAAGCCCTTTTTGCTAGGTGCGAATTGCCGAAACCTTTGCGAAACGCAAAAATCGCTTATACGCCCAGAAAGTAAGGCAAGGTCAGGGGGCTCAACCGGGCATCGTGTGTAAATGCCCAAGGAGTGCGGCGAAGCCACAAGTCCCGATGGTCAATGTCTTGCGGGTTTTTTCCGCCGCCGTGCGGCTCGAGAATGGGAAACCAGAGGCCATTCGCGTTGGAGGTGTCCTGAATAACGAAATAAACATGGTCACTAAAAGCGTGAAGTGTCAAATATGTTTCATATTACCACCTTTTTAATGAGTTATTTCAATGCACTCAGTCCTGACTAGCTAAGGTGGTTAAAATATGCAAACCTTTACCAGAATGTCAGCTATCTGTCTGAAACGTTAGAACTAAGTCTAACTCACCTTCAAACTATCAATTGGTTGATAGTAACTCCCCCTCCCCCCCTTCTCCCCCCTCCCCCTTCCCACCCCATCCCTACTGCATATAAGTAGAATTCACAATCACTTCATGATCAACACATTTCAGGTAAGTAGCGACATATAAGAATGTGTGACATGGCATGCAATGGGCTGTCAGTCATAGCTGGAGTTGCAGGATGACAGCCGGTGTTGCTGAGGTAGCAACACACACCTGACATGATGCCAACCCCATGATAACAGATACCACTACCACTGCCACCACCACCATCCTTGCTACCACTGCCACCACCACCATCCTTGCTACCACTGCCACCACCACCATCCTTGCTACCACTGCCACCACCACTGTCACCATGGCCACCGTTCTCCGTTCATCGTGACCTTCAAAATCCCTTTCTCGCCCCTCCCTCCGAGTCCTCGCATTCTCCCCACTCTCTCCCCCACCAGCACCATCACCCCCACCATTGCCATCGCTGCTGCCAAAGCATTCTTCACTCCACCCCCCCACCCAACCCCCCTTCTCTCCATTTCCCACTTTATTCCTCCATGTCCTCGCATATTCTTCTCTCCCTTCCACCGGCACCATCGCTCCTGTCAATGCATCCTTCTCCCCAACTCCTTCCATGTCCCCATTTCCCACTTTATTCCCCTCTTAACACCCATCCCCATGCTATCCCCACCCCCTTCTTTAAGCCCATTCCCCTTGTTCCTTGTCCCCCCCCTCGTGCAAGGAGACGCAGGTGCCCCAGTTGCTCCTCTCAGTCCTGGGGTGCCCCGCCACTGATGCCCATGCGTTGCCCTCCTCGTTCACCCCTGCCCCCCTTCTCCTCCCACCAGCCTCCTAACTCCCCCCATGGCCGCCATTCCCCCTGTTATCCCCATCTCCCCCGTTATCCCCATTCCCCCCGTTGTCCCCATTCCCCCCGTTGTCCCCATTTCCCTCGTCATCCCCATTCCCCCCGTTGTCCCCATTACCCCCATTCCCCCCATCGTCCCCGTTCCCCCCGTCCCCTTCCCCCCCCTGCAGGTCGACTTTGAAGACGAAGGCAGCCCAGTTGCTCCACTCGGTGCGCGGCTGCCCCGCCACATACTGCACTGCCGCCCACGCGTTGCCCTCCTCGTCCACCGTTGCCGTCATGTAGTCACCATATCGCATCTCCGTTGCACCAACGCGGTACCCTGAAGGGGAGAGAGGAGGGTGGAGGTGCGTGTGGGAGTAGGAAAGGGGGGGAGAGGGGGGGAGAGGCCATTGGTCATACCGATGCTCCGTTGCACCGTTCAAATACCGTGAGCAGGGAAGTGGGGGTGTGCTGCGTGCACTGCACGGGAGGAGAGAGGGGTGGGAGCCCCTTTCTCGCATGCTGTAAAGCGTACATACAGTCCACGTGGGCTCTCCCTCACCCACGTGGGCTCTCCCTCACCTGCGTTGGCTGCCTTCGAACTGCCTTTTCTTGCCCAACAGGCAAAAGGCAGCTAGATCCCAACTGGCAACAAACGAGTACCAGCAAGCAGCAGAGCACGCATAATAACAAACTCACCCGTATAGTCGTCGAGAGGCGCTTTCCCCGGGCCGGCAATGACCACGCGGCCATCCAACAAGCAGCAGAGCACCCAAGAGAACAAACTCACCCGTGTAATCATCGAGAGGCGCTTTCCCCGGGCCGGCAATGACGACGCGGCCGACATCCACATTGGCGTTGAGAGTGGCATAGGCAGCTGAGGGGTAGAAGGAACGCCCTGCCAGCGATGCTGCTATGATGCCCACGCCGTGCCTGGGGGGGGCGTGAGGGGATGGCAAGAGAGAAAGAAGACGGGTTTGAAGCTGTTATTATGCCCTTGCCAAGCTTGAGGGGTGGAGGGGGGGGGGGGGGATGGCAAGAGAGAAAGAAGACGGGTTTGAAGCTGTTATTATGCCCTTGCCAAGGGGTGGAGGGGGGGGGGGGGGGGGATGGCAAGAGAGAAAGAAGACGGGTTGATGCTGCTATGATGCCCTTGCCTTGGCTGCGCCAGGGGAGTGCGGGATTGGGCAAGAGAGAAAGAAGGCGGGTTTGGTGCTACTATCATGCCCACGCCGGGAAACGGGAGGGAGGGGAATGAGGGGATGGCAAAGGGTGTGAGAAGTGAGGGAAGGAGATGGGGTTTGAGAGATGCCTTCCAGGGGGGGGTTGGAAATTTGTCTCTTTTTTCTCCAACAGAGTGTAGAGGGGTTTCCAACAGAAAGAAAAGAGGGAAAGAGCAAGCCTCCCTCTTTTCTCTCACCTGTTGAGGGCGATGGTGCCCTGAATGAGGCTGTTCCCTCCGCCCACCCCCACCACTTTGAACCGCTCCAAAAACACCCGAAGCGTGCGCCACTTGCGCTGAGGCCGGAGGGACAGGCGAAGCCTCACCACCACGGCAGCAGCACTCATCTCCTTGCCAAACGCCGACATAAAGCTGACCCACATGCGCCTGCTCTCCGGATTCACCACCACGCCTCTCGCATCGATCTCTGAAGGGCCGATGGGCTTGATCGTACTGTTCATCTGCCAAGCTGTAGGAACAGGCCCGGGCTTCTGCTCCACAGGCCGGGGAATGAAGAACGGCGGAGTGTTGACGGCCGCACAGTGGGGTTCGACCAAGCGCTCGGCTTCAGGGGTTCCCAGAGCGCTTGTACCCGTTATAGCAAAGGCTCCCACTGTGGTGAAGTTGGTGATAAGCACGGTTTCGTTTGGAGCACCACGGTTGGGGTTAACTCCCGTCCATCCGAAATACATGGTGCCGCCGTGGCGGTAGTCGTAGTCCCCATCGGCAGCGACCTTCTGAGGGTAGATGGTGTAGGATGGACTGAGAACGCTCGCAGTGTAAGGCACGACGAAGCGGAGAATGGTGGCATTCTCGGGTGCTTGGAGCTGGGACTTGGCGATTGCACTGGTTGGGGAGGCGGGGGAGGGGAGGAGCAGGGGAGGGGAGGATCAGGGGAGGAGGGGGAGGGAAGGAGCAGGGGAGGAGGAGGCATATTCACGTGCATTCTCTGGAATTTGAAGCTGGGGCTTGGCGGCTGCACTGGTTGGGAAGGAGGTTGGCGGGAGGGAAGGCAGAGGAGGAGGGAGGTGAGGAGCAGGAATGGAAGAAGAAGGAGATGATGTGGGGGGAGAGGGGGAATAAGAGGATGGGGAGGATTGTGATGGGGTGGTAAGAAGTGGAATTGATGGGAGAGATTGTCACTAGAGCTTACACATGTGGGTATGCATGGATGCATGGATGCAGGTTTGCATGTGGGTATGCATGGATGCGGGTTTGCATGTGGGTATGCATGGATGCGGGTTTGCATGTGGGTATGCATGGATGCGGGTTTGCATGTGGGTATGCATGGATGCATGGATGGGGGTTTGCATGTGGGTATGCATGGATGCATGAGTCCGGCATGGTTGGAACCTGGAAGTGTTATGTACGCATGAATAATGCAGAAGGAAATGCGTAAGCAAAGGGAAAAGATTGCATATGTCGCTTGCAGATACTTGCTGTGTTTGAGGTGCGTGATGAAGTGCCAAGACACTCACTAGATGCCCGCCCCATATACTCACTATATGCCCGCCCCATATACTCACTATATGCCCGCCCCATATACTTGCTCCAATGACTCCGAATATTGGTTTACCGACACGTAAAATCCTGGTGAGGGGGGACGGCGGGTGCAGGCAGTGGGGAAGGCCCATACAGGAAATCAATGGGCTGTAATCGGGAGCGAGAGATGATTTGAGCAGAAAGGGTGTTTTTGAGACGTCTCACAAACACCCTCTCTACAATGGGCTGTAATCGAGAGAAATCAATTGAGACGTCTCAACAACACCCTCTCTACAATGGGCTGTAATCGAGAGAAATCAATTGAGACGTCTCACAAACACCCTCTCTACAATGGGCTGTAATCGAGAGAAATCAATTGAGACGTCTCACAAACACCCTCTCTACAATGGGCTGTAATCGAGAGAAATCAATTGAGACGTCTCACAAACACCCTCTCTACAATGGGCTGTAATCGAGAGAAATCAATTGAGACGTCTCACAAACACCCTCTCTACAATGGGCTGTAATCGAGAGAAATCAATTGAGACGTCTCACAAACACCCTCTCTACAATGGGCTGTAATCGAGAGAAATCAATTGAGACGTCTCACAAACACCCTCTCTACAATGGGCTGTAATCGAGAGCGAGAGATGATTTGAGCAGAAAAGTTGAAGTACAGCCGATAGGCACATGACAATGCTCGCACCCCCTGACTTGATTTGGGCATACGATAGGAACATGCTTTGAACACATGATTGCTGCTTTTTCCCAACACACATACCATAGGCACATGATTGCTGCTTTTTCCCAACACACATACCATAGGCACATGATTGCTGCTTTTCTCTACCACACATACCATAGGCACATGATTGCTGCTTTTCTCTACCACACATACCATAGGCACATGATTGCTGCTTTTCTCTACCACACATACCATAGGCACATGATTGCTGCTTATTCCCAACACACATACCATAGGCATCTGTGCCGATCTGAGGGTAGTCCACTGATGGGGGGAAGGAAAGCAAACGGTAGAGAAGGGGAGAAGGGCACGATGTAACTCCGTTGCTAATTTAGTGAAGGACCATCCGAAGGGGAGAAGGGCAAGATCGAAGAGGGATGGGGGGGCAGGTGACGTGACAGCAAGAGGGAAAACGAAAGGAGTGGGGGGGGTCTGGACGGTAAAGCAAGGGATGAATTAGCAGAGGCCAATTGCACATCGGAAATGAGAAAGACGCGGAAGAGGATCGTTGACGTGCATGATAATGTATATAAATACATATCTGCATATAAATATATATTTGTATATAAATATAAATCTGTATATAAATATACTATCGTTAGCTCTTGCGCACCATCACCCAACCATCACACGTCCATCACCCATCCCATCACCACCTTCACATGTCCATCACGCATCCCATCACCACCTTCACATGTCCATCACGCATCCCATCACCCCACCTTCACACGCATCCAAGGCAGCACCCCATGCCATGCCATGATTCACCATACAGAACGAGTTTTTAGTCGACTCAAAACTCGACTCATTACACAAGGCAGCACCCCATGCCATGCCATGCCATGATTCAACTTACAGAACGTGGTGAGTCGAGACGAGTTGAAGTGGAGAGGCGCCCTCCAGTCCGGATTGGAGTTGATGCCATCGTTGCTGCGAGAGGGGGGAGAGGAGTAAGGGACGGACGGAGGGGGGGAAGGACGGAGGGGGGTTTGAGGGAGGAAACAGTTTTCCCTTGACCTTGAAAGTGGAGAGGCGCCCTCCAATCCGGATTGGAGTTGATGCCATCGTTTCTGGGAGGGGGGTTTGAGGCGGGGGGAAAGGGCGGAGGGGGGTTGAGGGAGGAACAGTGTGCCTAAACCCTGGGAGTGGAGAGGCGCCCTCCAGTCCGGATTGGAGTTGATGCCATCGTTGCTGGGAGGGGGGGTGTGGGGTGAGGAGGTGGGGAGAGGGAGGAAACAGAGAGGAGAAAGAGGGAGATGGAAAGTAAGAGAAGAGGAGAATTTGAGGAACTAGGTGAGAAGGACAGAGCAGGGATATAAACAGTCTGGAATGGGGCTGCTGTTGCAGGAAGAGGCATGTGGAGAGCAGCGGATGAACGTGAGAAAGGGTGAGAAGTGAGAAAATGTGAGAAAAAGGGTGCGACCGAAACTCCGTTGCAAAATGGAGAGAAAGGGTGAGGTGAGGAAAGGTGAGGGAAAAGGCTGAGAACAAAAAGGAGGCGAACGAACGAGCCAGGAATGAAGAAGACGTTCCAGGGCTGTGTGGGGTCGTCCGTGGTTGACGCTGCCACTATCATCCCTGCGCCAACTGTCACGTCGCCCCTCCTCCTCGTCTGCCCAAACTTGTCATACGTGTTGTTGCCACCCCCTGACTGAACGTTGGGAGAGATGGGAATGGGAAGGAAGGGAAGCGAGACACGAGGGAAAAAACGAGAGGAAGGAGTCAAGAAGGAAGAAAACGAGAGGGTGGAAATATGGAGAGGAAGACAAGAGGAGGAAACAAGAGGTAGGAAAACGAGAGGGCAAAAGAAGGGGGATAGTGGGATTGCGGGAGGGAGGTGTTCGAGAGAAATGGCTTCGCAGGCTCAATCCAACAACAGGTGGCGAGGGAAGCAACTTTTGTAAAGTCAACAATGGCGCCTAAAAAGTCAACAAAGGCGCCTAAAAAGTCAACAATGGCTCGGCGCAGGTTCGGCACTCACACTCCAGTAGGTGGAGAGGTAGAAGCGCCGGGACTGGCGGTCATACGTGCATGTCATGTCACCGATGTTGTCTCCGAATACTGATTCTTTGAACGGGTCCCTCTTCTCCACCACCCATGGCAGCATGCCAAAGAACTGGTGGGCGGAAGGTGGGCGGAATGGAATGAGGGTTGGGGAAGGTGGGCGGAAGGTGGGCAGAAGGTGGGCGGAAGGTGGGCGGAAGGTGGGCGGAAGGTGGGCGGAAGGTGGGCGGAAGATGGGCGGAAGGTGGGCTGGTGTTGGTGCTGGTTGGGCAAAGAACCACCAATGGCAGCACGCTGGCGAAGTGAGAGGAAGGCGTGGAGGGAGGTGTGGGGCTGGGGAGGAGAGGGCAGAGCGATCATGATTGGGTGTGCGCACTTGCCTCGCTGCGTGCGCACTTGCCTCGCTGCGTGTGCACTTGCCTCGCTGCGTGTGCACTTGCCTCGCTGCGTGTGCACTTGACTCGCTGCGTGTGCACTTGCCTCGTTGGTTGTGATGATGCGAGTGAGCTGCTTCCCTTGCTTGTCGTACACAGCCATTGCTGCCAGGGGGGAGAAGTGGAGGAGAGGAATCGGTGGGACGGTAGAGAAATTGCTTAAAAGGAATTGCGTGAGAGGAGAGATGGAGAAAGAAGGTGAAGCAGTTGGGGACAGAGAAGAAGCAAGGGCAAGGAACGCCGCTTACCAATGTTGACAGTGTGAAGGATGTATCCGTTGCCCACACACAGAGCGACGTCAGGAGGGGTTACACGGACCTAAAACGGAACAAGAAACATAACTTTAGTGATCAAGATGCTGCAAAAATCCGCACAAATGCACAAATCCGCACCGTGAAATAACACATGTTTCTTACCACTGTATCGTTGTATTTAGGCGGTGTACCACTGTTCACTAGGCTGTACTGGCTTATACCGGGAAACCCAACCGCCGGTTTCCGCTTCACCACTTGTTTCAGCTCCGTCATGCGCGCCGAGAATTCCCCCACCTCCGCCAATCGCTCCTCCTGTTTGTGGGAAAGAGCGGGAACCCCAAAAACACAGGGATTTCCTCCATTGCAGAAGCGGGTTGCACATTGCACGAGCCTTAGGAAGCCTCTTCTACTGTAGTGGTTGACCGTTACTGTGCGACTCGGTTGACCGTTACTGCGCGACTCGGTTGACCGTTACTGCGCGACTCGGTTGACCGTTCCAGCGGTTGACCTCTGAACTGGGTGCCGCACAAGGCCTGCATGCGCTGGGGGGAATCCCGCCGGGGGGGAGGGCGCAACGGGCTCGGGGATTCCCCGCTAGAACAGTCAGTGAATCGCACAGGCTCAGTCGCACAGGCTCAGTCGCGCGAGCCTACCATCTGTTGCCCGAGCGGATCCACAGCGGGAGCCGGCGCGCTCGCAGGCGCAGCGGCGGGCGCAGATGCAGCGGCGGCCGCCGCGGAGCTTGCTGCTTCCGCCAAGGCCTCGCGCGTCTTCTCGTCGAGTCCGCCGCCGCGAATCCGCCCAAGCAGCTCCTCCTTCCGCGCCTCCCTGTCGCGCGGGTCGTCCGCCGCATATGACGCGCGGGAATCGCCGGCGGTGGTGCTGTGGTTTCCGCTGCTATCTCCGCCGCTGTTCCCGCCGCCTCCCGCGGAAGCGGAGTCTCCACCCGGTGGAGGGAGCGGGCCGTTACTACTAACAGCGTCTTCGATCGGCGGAAGCTGCGCGGTTCCAGCGAACCAGAGGTTCTCCGACAGCTTGAACACCTCCACGCGGTCCTTCGATCCGCGCATCGGCGCAATCACGACGCGCGTCGCCGCATTCGTTCCCCGCGGCGGAGCTAGCAGCGGCAGTAGAAGCGCGAGCAGCAGAGCGGCGTGACGGTAGCAGCAGAGGCGCGGGGAGGCATGCGGAGGAGGAGCCATTGCGCCGGAAGCAGAGTGCACCTTGATAGGCCTTGGAGCATCGACTATGAAATAGGGGAGCTGAAGCATCGACTAGCTCTGATCAAACCGAATGGCTGTTCACTAAAATCAGTGCAGTGCCTGCGTCCGCCTCTTGGATCTCCACATGTGGAAAAGCGGCTGCGCGCTACAGTTTGGAAAAGGCGGCAGTCTGACGGATCCATTCCTCCGTCAAAATTCAGTTTTCAGACATCTAAAAAAATGGCGGCATTCTGGTGACTATCCATTCCTCCGTCAAATCCTTCAGTGCCAGAACAGGTGCCACGTCTTTGCACTGAATTTGTCACAGCCACTGTGCGCAGCCGATCGGGGATTCCAGCCAATCAAAACCAACCTGAAGTTTATCAGAAGGGGATGTTGCCAGCTGACTAGACTAATGAGCTGTCAAGCGCTCAAAACCACTTCTCCTCAACATTCACTTCAGCCAAATTTTCAACCACCCTAGCTCCCGTAGTGGCAATGTATGTGTACAGTACATGGGCAAGCCCATGTCCTTGTCCCGCCCCGCGCCATGCGCCGCCGCCATGCGGCTCGACAAGGTTGCATGAGAAAGGCGACGACTTGGGCGTCCCCGCAACAGCGCGCCCATGCATCTATCTAGATAGACTACACGATATCATACTTCCTAGATAGAGAAAGGCATCAACAACATTCCCTCATGGCATTATGATAGTAATCCATTAGCCAACTGAAGTTGGCACATGATTTAAACATTTCTTGTGCCATGCTAGAGCTTTATTCAAAGCGCATGCGCCCTAGCAGTGCGCATTTATATGGTACTCAATATTAAAAATCAGCTGCACTTATTCCACTGCAGGCAATCTAGTGCATGAAGCTACGCAGTGGTGACTTCCCTAGATAATTAATGCTCATCAGTTCGAGCACCATGCGGAAATGCTAACAGGATAGGTGATGCGTTAATATGCAAGAGCTGCACAAAAAAAAGTCTGTGCTGCTGAGGTAGCAGCACATGACTGCCAAGATGCCTCCCTATGCTATCTCCCATTCAGCCACTACCACCATTGCCATCCTTGCATCTACTGGTGTTGTTTTCACAATAACCAGTGCCACTCCTGCTATTGCTCCTGCGGCTGCTGCTGGAACTGTCTCCACTGCCGCTGCAGCTTCCACTCCATACTTATGCACCACCCCCCTAGCCAACCCTGCTGCTATACCCACCCTAAATTCCCCTTCCCACCCTCATTATCCCTGCTGCTATTCCCCACCCCTCCTCCCCCACAAGCCCGCACATCCCCATCACTACCATCACTGTTCACAAGCTCCCCTGTCTCCCTCCTCCCCTCCATCCCCCTTCCCCTTCATTATTCACTTTCCCACTGTTCCTTTAATTCTTCCCGTTCTCCCCATCCCACTCCCCCCGTTCCCCCCGTTCCCCTCCCCCCCCTGCAGGTCGACTTTGAACACGAAGGTAGCCCAGTTGCTCCACTCGGTGCGCGGCTGCCCCGCCACATACTGCACTGCCGCCCACGCGTTGCCCTCCTCGTCCACCGTCGCCGTCATGTAGTCGCCGTACCGCATCCTCCCAGTCTCGTACGCTGGAAAGGGGGAGGAGGGTGGGGGAGACAAAGATGGCCTTAGATTCGACTCAAGCATCGGCATCACGTAGTCGCCGCATCGCATCCCCTCATGTTGCAAGGATCTTTTTGAGAAATCTCAACAAATCCCTGCAACATAAAGGACTTCATTATCCTCGGTTTCGGAGACAGGGATGGCCTGCATGTAGATTCGCCCCACGCGTAACCGACGTGTAGTCGCCGCATCGCATTCCCTCACTCAAGTACCTGGGAAGGGGGGGAGACAGGTGGGGGTTTGCAGGGGGGGAAACGGGGGTGGGGGAGACAAGGATGGCCTTATATTCGACTCACGCGTAGCCGTTGTGTAGTCGCCGTCATGTACTCGCCGTAGCGCATCCCCTCAGTCAAGTACCCTGAAAGGAGGAGAGAGAGACTGGGGTGGGGGTATGCACGCGAGGAGAGATTGACAAGAAGTGCCTTAGATTCGACTCAAGTGCAGCAGTTGTGTAGTCGCCGTCATGTACTCGCCGTAGCGCATCCCCTCAGTCAAGTATCCTGGAAGGGGGGGAGACGGGTGGGGGTTTGCAGGAAAAGAGGGGCGGAAAGGAGGGACGGGGGTTGACAGGAGGGCAAACGGGTTAGGGGTGGGCAAGGGAGTTTGTAAGATCGTTTGTAATACTTGTGAGGGAGCAAAGTTGAGATTGAGCCACCAGAAAAGAGGCTCTCCATAGCAGTCACCAGAGCAGCCTTTTAGGAGGAAACGACCAGAGCAGCCTTTTAGGAGGAAACGACCAGAGCAGACAAGCAGAGGAGCCTTTTCTGGGCCGGCAGAATCTGTTAACGATTTTTTAGTCGACTCGACTCAAAGGGCGTCTCACTCACATCACATCTCCCAAAAATTGTCTGAAAGGACGATTTTCACGCGGACAGACACTAGCAGAGCAGACATGCAGAGGGGCCTTCTCTGAGCCAGCAGAATCTGAGACGATTTCTGAGTCGAGTCGACTCAAAGGGCGTCTCACTCACATCACATCACATCACATCACATCACATCACATCACATCACATCACATCACATCACATCACATCACATCACATCACGCGGACGGACAAAAACAGAGCACTCATGCAGAGGAGAATTTTCAGGGCCAGCATTGAGTGTATTTTGAGGTGCCTCCAAAAAGTCCTCAATGCACGCGGATTTCATACGGAGAGGAGACAATTACTACCAGTAGTAACCTGAGCAGTGTTTGGGAGGGAAATACCAGAGCAGGCGTGATGAGGAGCCTTAGCAGGGCCAGCAAGGCCAGCAGGGCCATAGCAGGCATGATGACGAGCCTTAGCATGCCAAGCAGGGCCAGCAAGGCCAGCAGGATCTGGTTTCAGGCGCTAACATGCCGAGCAGCGGAGCAATGAGCAGCACTATGGCGACTCACCAGAGTAGTCGTCAAGAGGCGCTTTCCCCGGGCCAACAACGTTGATGCGGCCAACATCCACATTGGCGTTGAGAGTGGCATAGGCAGCTGAGGGGTAGAAGGAACGCCCTGCCAGCGATGCTGCTATGATGCCCTTGCCTTGCCTGGGAAGGGCAAAGGGAGAGAGGGAAAGACAGGTGAGTGAAGGGAAGGAGATGGGGTGTAATGTGATGGCCTTACCATGCGTGGATAGGGGCGTGAGTGGATGGCGGGAGGGCGTGTGAGTTGGTGGAAATGAAGATGGGCAAAACGCTGCTGTGAATCTCTTGCTGTGCTTAAAATTAAAAGTGTGCACTTGAGCAGAATTCAGCATGCCGCATGTCCAGTGCTCGTGCATATCATCCTGTGAGGGGGACACGCATAAAGAATCAACCTAAAAGGGTAAATTCTCCTCTCCCATTGCCATCAAATCCCTCTTTCAACCCTTGCACTTCCACCCCCACACCCTCCCCCTTTTGCTGTCTACCCCCACACCCTCCCCCTTTTGCTGTCTACCCCCACACCCTCCCCCTTTTGCTGTCTACCCCCACACCCTCCCCCTTTTGCTGTCTACCCCCACACCCTCCCACTTTTTCCATCCACCCCCTCCTCCCCTCTCTCCCAACTGTTGAGAGAGATCGTGGGCTGAATGAGGCTGTTCCCTCCGCCCACCCCCACCACTTTGAACCGCTCCAGAAACACCCGAAACGGCCTCCACTTGCGCTTGAGCCTCAGAGACAAGCGAAGCCTGGCCACCACGGCAGAGGCACTCATGTCCTTGCCAAAGGCCGACATAAACGACAGCCACATCTGCCTGCTCTCCGGAAACACCACAACTGCACGGACGGTAGAAGCTGTAGGGCTGATAGCACGGATGGTGGTGTTGAGTCTCCAAGCGATTGGCACGGGTCCGTTCTTTTGCTGAACATCATTTATTTTGAAGTACGGGGGAGTGCTGACGGCGGCACAGTGTGGCTTCACCATACTCTCGGCTTCAGGGGTCCCCAGAGCACTTGTACCCGTTATAGCAAAGGCTCCCACTGTGGTGAAGTTGTATACAACAAAGAATTCCTGTGGGGAAGGTCGGTTGGGGTTGAATCCCGTCCAGCCGAAATACATGGTGCCGCCGTGGCGATAGTCGTAGTCCCCATCGGCTGCGACCTTCTGAGGGTAGATGGTTAATGCTGGGTTGCTGAGGGCCGGTGATTGTGGCACGGCGAAGCGAAGAATGGTTGTGTTCTGAGGGGTTTGAAGCTGGGCCTTGGAGATTGCACTGGTAGGGGGGGAGGTGGGGGGGAGAAGAAGGGAGGAGTGAGCAAGGAGGGTGAGGAGGAGTTAAGAGATTCATGAGAGGGGATGGGGGAGATGTTAGAGAATGGTGGGAGAGGAGGGGGGGGAAGTTCAGAGATTGATGGGAGAGGATGGCACCAGAGCTGCAAGTCGTGGTTGCAAGGATGGTGTTATGAGCTATGCATTCCCCAGACCTGTGAATGCATTTCCTTTGAAACCATGACTCGTTAACACTAACTTCTCTCAACTCACTATATGGAGGACCCAAAACACGAGAACTCATCCTCTGTAAATTGGTTGGCAGACACATAAACTCCTGGTGAGGGCGAGTAAGAAAGAGGGCGGGGAGGGGGGAATTGAGGAAGGGGCAAGAAACGGGGAGGGGGGAGGGGAGGGGGGGGGCGGCCAAGAAACAACAGGGGTCTCAAGGCGTCCCAGTCGTTTTTTGAGACGCCTCAAGCATTAAACTGGCACATGGCATGGGCATGAGTGCACGTGGCATGGGCATGAGTGCACGTGGCATGGGCATGAGTGCACGTGGCATGGGCATGAGTGCACGTGGCATGAGCATGAGTGCACGTGGCATGGGCATGAGTGCACGTGGCATGGGCATGAGTGCACATGGCATGGGCATGAGTGCACATGGCATGGGCATGAGTGCACATGGCATGGGCATGCACGACATAGGCAAGAAAGCACAAACATAGGCATGAGTGCACATACCATAGGCATCAGTGCCGACTTGAGGGTAGTCCACTGAAACCACCAAGTAAAGAGAAAGAGGGACAAGTGATAAGAGACGACAAGGGAAAGAGGCAAGTTGGATAAGAGAGGAGAATTCCATTTGAGCAACAGCGCAATCACCCCACCTTCACCTCACAATCAAACCCCCTTCACCCCCCCGCAATCACCCCACCTTCACCTCACAATCAAACCCCCTTCACCCCCCCGCAATCACCCCACCTTCACCCCCCCGCAATCACCCCTCCCAACCCACAGAGAGTGGTGAGCCGATTTGTCTGGTAGTGAAGGGGGGCCCTCCAGTCGGGATTCGAGCTGATTCCGTCATTGCTGGGGGAGGAGGGAGGGGGGGTGAGGACGGAGGGAGTGAGGACGGAGGGAGTGAGGACGGAGGGAGTGAGGACGGAGGGAGTGAGGATGGAGGGAGTGAGGATGGAGGGAGTGAGGATGGAGGGAGTGAGGATGGAGGGAGGGGATGTTGGCAGGGGAGAGAGGTGGGATGCTCTTGAGCCGACTCAAAAGAAGAGGCGCCCTCCAGTAGGGATTCGAGTTGATTCCAACGTTGATGGGGGAGGAGGGAGGGGGATTCGGATGATGGGAGGGAGGATGTTTGGCAGGGGAGCGAGGTGGGATGCTGGGAAGGGGAGGGCAAAGACAAGGGGTCCAATCAGTCTGGAATCTAAGACGTTGCTGGTGGAAAGAGAAAGAGGAACGGTGATCAGGGTGAGAAACGGTGTTTAGGTGAGAACGAGGAGGAAGCAAAGAGTTGAGAAAGCGTGAGAAGCAGTGAATACAATGAGGTGAGTGAGAACGAGGAGGCGAGCGTACGAGCCGGGAATGAAAGAAGACGAACGTTTTAGGAACGGTGAGACAGAAAGGCACGATGGACAAGGGTGAGAAAAGGTGAGGAATGTGAGAAAGCGTGAGCAAAAGGAGGAACGCATACGAGCCGGGGATGAAGAAGACGTTCCAGTCCTGGGTGAGAATGGAAGGTGAGGAATGTGAGAAAGGGTGAGCGAAGGGGCCGAACGTACGAGCCGGGAATGAAGAAGAGGTTCCACTCCTTTGTGGGGTCATCCGTGGTTGTCGCTGCCACTATCAGCCCCGAGCCCACTGTCACGTTGCCTCGCCTCCTCGTCTGCCCAAACTTGTCATACGTGTTGTTGAATCCCCCTGACTGGGAGTGCGAGGGAGGGCAAAGAGAATGGCGGTCATATCATACGTGCATGACAGGTAGCCAACTTGTCTCCCAAGACAAGTTTGACATGCTATACGGCTCCCTTCGCTCCACCACCGGTGGCAGTACCCAGCAACAAACAGCAGCACCCAACAGCAACCAGCAGCACCCAGCAGTACCCAGCAGCACCCCACACTCCACCCACAACTCACCATCCACATGGCGGAGAGGTAGAAGCGCTTGGCTTTGCGGTCGTACGTGCATGCCATGTCTCCCACTCTGTCTCCCACTCTGTCTCCCACTCTGTCTCCCACTCTGTCTCCCACTCTGTCTCCCACTCTGTCTCCCACTCTGTCTCCCACTCTGTCTCCCACTCTGTCTCCCCACTCTGTCTCCCACTCTGTCTCCCACTCTGTCTCCCACTCTGTCTCCCACTCTGTCTCCCACTCTGTCTCCCACTCTGTCTCCCACTCTGTCTCCCACTCTGTCTCCCACTCTGTCTCCCACTCTGTCTCCCACTCTGTCTCCCACTCTGTCTCCCACTCTGTCTCCCACTCTGTCTCCCACTCTGTCTCCCACTCTGTCTCCCACTCTGTCTCCCACTCTGTCTCCCACTCTGTCTCCCACTCTGTCTCCCACTCTGTCTCCCACTCTGTCTCCCACTCTGTCTCCCACTCTGTCTCCCACTCTGTCTCCCACTCTGTCTCCCACTCTGTCTCCCACTCTGTCTCCCACTCTGTCTCCCACTCTGTCTCCCACTCTGTCTCCCACTCTGTCTCCCACTCTGTCTCCCACTCTGTCTCCCACTCTGTCTCCCACTCTGTCCCTCCCACTCTGTCGCCCACTCTGCTCCCCTCTGTCTCCCACTCTGTCTCCCACTCTGTCTCCCACTCTGTCTCCCACTCTGTCTCCCAACTCTGTCTCCCACTCTGTCTCCCAATCCTGTCTCCCACTCTGTCTCCCACTCTGTCTCCCACTCTGTCTCCCACTCTGTCTCCCACTCTGTCTCCCACTCTGTCTCCCACTCTGTCTCCCACTCTGCTCCACGCTGGTCTCCCACTCTGTCTCCCACTCTGTCTCCCACTCTGTCTCCCACTTCTGTCTCCCACTCTGTCTCCCACTCTGTCTCCCACTCTGTCTCCCACTCTGTCTCCCACTCTGTCTCCCACTCTGTCTCCCACTCTGTCTCCCACTCTGTCTCCCACTCTGTCTCCCACTCTGTCTCCCACTCTGTCTCCCACTCTGTCCTCCCACTCTGTCTCCCACTCTGTCCTCCCACTCTGTCTCCCACTCTGTCTCCCACTCTGTCTCCCACTCTGTCTCCCACTCTGTCTCCCACTCTGTCTCCCACTCTGTCTCCCACTCTGTCTCCCACTCTGTCTCCCACTCTGTCTCCCACTCTGTCTCCCACTCTGTCTCCCACTCTGTCTCCCACTCTGTCTCCCACTCTGTCTCCCACTCTGTCTCCCACTCTGTCTCCCACTCTGTCTCCCACTCTGTCTCCCACTCTGTCTCCCACTCTGTCTCCCACTCTGTCTCCCACTCTGTCTCCCACTCTGTCTCCCACTCTGTCTCCCACTCTGTCTCCCACTCTGTCTCCCACTCTGTCTCCCACTCTGTCTCCCACTCTGTCTCCCACTCTGTCTCCCACTCTGTCTCCCACTCTGTCTCCCACTCTGTCTCCCACTCTGTCTCCCACTCTGTCTCCCACTCTGTCTCCCACTCTGTCTCCCACTCTGTCTCCCACTCTGTCTCCCACTCTGTCTCCCACTCTGTCTCCCACTCTGTCTCCCACTCTGTCTCCCACTCTGTCTCCCACTCTGTCTCCCACTCTGTCTCCCACTCTGTCTCCCACTCTGTCTCCCACTCTGTCTCCCACTCTGTCTCCCACTCTGTCTCCCACTCTGTCTCCCACTCTGTCTCCCACTCTGTCTCCCACTCTGTCTCCCACTCTGTCTCCCACTCTGTCTCCCACTTCTGTCTCCCACTCTGTCTCCCACTCTGTCTCCCACTCTGTCTCCCACTCTGTCTCCCACTCTGTCTCCCACTCTGTCTCCCACTCTGTCTCCCACTCTGTCTCCCACTCTGTCTCCCACTCTGTCTCCCACTCTGTCTCCCACTCTGTCTCCCACTCTGTCTCCCACTCTGTCTCCCACTCTGTCTCCCACTCTGTCTCCCACTCGTCTCCCACTCTGTCTCCCACTCTGTCTCCCACTCTGTCTCCCACTTCTGTCTCCCACTCTGTCTCCCACTCTGTCTCCCACTCTGTCTCCCACTCTGTCTCCCACTCTGTCTCCCACTCTGTCTCCACTCTGTCTCCCACTCTGTCTCCCACTCTGTCTCCCACTCTGTCTCCCACTCTGTCTCCCACTCTGTCTCCCACTCTGTCTCCCACTCTGTCTCCCACTCTGTCTCCCACTCTGTCTCCCACTCTGTCTCCCACTCTGTCTCCCACTCTGTCTCCCACTCTGTCTCCCACTCTGTCTCCCACTCTGTCTCCCACTCTGTCTCCCACTCTGTCTCCCACTCTGTCTCCCACTCTGTCTCCCACTCTGTCTCCCACTCTGTCTCCACTCTGTCTCCCACTCTGTCTCCCACTCTGTCTCCCACTCTGTCTCCCACTCTGTCTCCCACTCTGTCTCCCACTCTGTCTCCCACTCTGTCTCCCACTCTGTCTCCCACTCTGTCTCCCACTCTGTCTCCCACTCTGTCTCCCACTCTGTCTCCCACTCTGTCTCCCACTCTGTCTCCCACTCTGTCTCCCACTCTGTCTCCCACTCTGTCTCCCACTCTGTCTCCCACTCTGTCTCCCACTCTGTCTCCCACTCTGTCTCCCACTCTGTCTCCCACTCTGTCTCCCACTCTGTCTCCCACTCTGTCTCCCACTCTGTCTCCCACTCTGTCTCCCACTCTGTCTCCCACTCTGTCTCCCACTCTGTCTCCCACTCTGTCTCCCACTCTGTCTCCCACTCTGTCTCCCACTCTGTCTCCCACTCTGTCTCCCACTCTGTCTCCCACTCTGTCTCCCACTCTGTCTCCCACTCTGTCTCCCACTCTGTCTCCCACTCTGTCTCCCACTCTGTCTCCCACTCTGTCTCCCACTCTGTCTCCCACTCTGTCTCCCACTCTGTCTCCCACTCTGTCTCCCACTCTGTCTCCCACTCTGTCTCCCACTCTGTCTCCCACTCTGTCTCCCACTCTGTCTCCCACTCTGTCTCCCACTCTGTCTCCCACTCTGTCTCCCACTCTGTCTCCCACTCTGTCTCCCACTCTGTCTCCCACTCTGTCTCCCACTCTGTCTCCCACTCTGTCTCCCACTCTGTCTCCCACTCTGTCTCCCACTCTGTCTCCCACTCTGTCTCCCACTCTGTCTCCCACTCTGTCTCCCACTCTGTCTCCCACTCTGTCTCCCACTCTGTCTCCCACTCTGTCTCCCACTCTGTCTCCCACTCTGTCTCCCACTCTGTCTCCCACTCTGTCTCCCACTCTGTCTCCCACTCTGTCTCCCACTCTGTCTCCCACTCTGTCTCCCACTCTGTCTCCCACTCTGTCTCCCACTCTGTCTCCCACTCTGTCTCCCACTCTGTCTCCCACTCTGTCTCCCACTCTGTCTCCCACTCTGTCTCCCACTCTGTCTCCCACTCTGTCTCCCACTCTGTCTCCCACTCTGTCTCCCACTCTGTCTCCCACTCTGTCTCCCACTCTGTCTCCCACTCTGTCTCCCACTCTGTCTCCCACTCTGTCTCCCACTCTGTCTCCCACTCTGTCTCCCACTCTGTCTCCCACTCTGTCTCCCACTCTGTCTCCCACTCTGTCTCCCACTCTGTCTCCCACTCTGTCTCCCACTCTGTCCTCCCACTCTGTCTCCCACTCTGTCTCCCACTCTGTCTCCCACTCTGTCTCCCACTCTGTCTCCCACTCTGTCTCCCACTCTGTCTCCCACTCTGTCTCCCACTCTGTCTCCCACTCTGTCTCCCACTCTGTCTCCCACTCTGTCTCCCACTCTGTCTCCCACTCTGTCTCCCACTCTGTCTCCCACTCTGTCTCCCACTCTGTCTCCCACTCTGTCTCCCACTCTGTCTCCCACTCTGTCTCCACTCTGTCTCCCACTCTGTCTCCCACTCTGTCTCCCACTCTGTCTCCCACTCTGTCTCCCACTCTGTCTCCCACTCTGTCTCCCACTCTGTCTCCCACTCTGTCTCCCACTCTGTCTCCCACTCTGTCTCCCACTCTGTCTCCCACTCTGTCTCCCACTCTGTCTCCCACTCTGTCTCCCACTCTGTCTCCCACTCTGTCTCCCACTCTGTCTCCCACTCTGTCTCCCACTCTGTCTCCCACTCTGTCTCCCACTCTGTCTCCCACTCTGTCTCCCACTCTGTCTCCCACTCTGTCTCCACTCTGTCTCCCACTCTGTCTCCCACTCTGTCTCCCACTCTGTCTCCCACTCTGTCTCCCACTCTGTCTCCCACTCTGTCTCCCACTCTGTCTCCCACTCTGTCTCCCACTCTGTCTCCCACTCTGGTCTCCCACTCTGTCTCCCACTCTGTCTCCCACTCTGTCTCCCACTCTGTCTCCCACTCTGTCTCCCACTCTGTCTCCCACTCTGTCTCCCACTCTGTCTACCACTCTGTCTCCCACTCTGTCTCCCACTCTGTCTCCCACTCTGTCTCCCACTCTGTCTCCCACTCTGTCTCCCACTCTGTCTCCCACTCTGTCTCCCACTCTGTCTCCCACTCTGTCTCCCACTCTGTCTCCACTCTGTCTCCCACTCTGTCTCCCACTCTGTCTCCCACTCTGTCTCCCACTCTGTCCTGCCCACTCTGTCTCCCACTCTGTCTCCCACTCTGTCTCCCACTGTCTCCCTGTCCTCCCACTCTGTCTCCCACTCTGTCTCCCACTCTGTCTCCCACTCTGTCTCCCACTCTGTCTCCCACTCTGTCTCCCACTCTGTCTCCCACTCTGTCTCCCACTCTGTCTCCCACTCTGTCTCCCACTCTGTCTCCCACTCTGTCTCCCACTCTGTCTCCCACTCTGTCTCCCACTCTGTCTCCCACTCTGTCTCCCACTCTGTCTCCCACTCTGTCTCCCACTCTGTCTCCCACTCTGTCTCCCACTCTGTCTCCCACTCTGTCTCCCACTCTGTCTCCCACTCTGTCTCCCACTCTGTCTCCCACTCTGTCTCCCACTCTGTCTCCCACTCTGTCTCCCACTCTGTCTCCCACTCTGTCTCCCACTCTGTCTCCCACTCTGTCTCCCACTCTGTCTCCCACTCTGTCTCCCACTCTGTCTCCCACTCTGTCTCCCACTCTGTCTCCCACTCTGTCTCCCACTCTGTCTCCCACTCTGTCTCCCACTCTGTCTCCCACTCTGTCTCCCACTCTGTCTCCCACTCTGTCTCCCACTCTGTCTCCCACTCTGTCTCCCACTCTGTCTCCCACTCTGTCTCCCACTCTGTCTCCCACTCTGTCTCCCACTCTGTCTCCCACTCTGTCTCCCACTCTGTCTCCCACTCTGTCTCCCACTCTGTCTCCCACTCTGTCTCCCACTCTGTCTCCCACTCTGTCTCCCACTCTGTCTCCCACTCTGTCTCCCACTCTGTCTCCCACTCTGTCTCCCACTCTGTCTCCCACTCTGTCTCCCACTCTGTCTCCCACTCTGTCTCCCACTCTGTCTCCCACTCTGTCTCCCACTCTGTCTCCCACTCTGTCTCCCACTCTGTCTCCCACTCTGTCTCCCACTCTGTCTCCCACTCTGTCTCCCACTCTGTCCTCCCACTCTGTCTCCCACTCTGTCTCCCACTCTGTCTCCCACTCTGTCTCCCACTCTGTCTCCCACTCTGTCTCCCACTCTGTCTCCCACTCTGTCTCCCACTCTGTCTCCCACTCTGTCTCCCACTCTGTCTCCCACTCTGTCTCCCACTCTGTCTCCCACTCTGTCTCCCACTCTGTCTCCCACTCTGTCTCCCACTCTGTCTCCCACTCTGTCTCCCACTCTGTCTCCCACTCTGTCTCCCACTCTGTCTCCCACTCTGTCTCCCACTCTGTCTCCCACTCTGTCTCCCACTCTGTCTCCCACTCTGTCTCCCACTCTGTCTCCCACTCTGTCTCCCACTCTGTCTCCCACTCTGTCTCCCACTCTGTCTCCCACTCTGTCTCCCACTCTGTCTCCCACTCTGTCTCCCACTCTGTCTCCCACTCTGTCTCCCACTCTGTCTCCCACTCTGTCTCCCACTCTGTCTCCCACTCTGTCTCCCACTCTGTCTCCCACTCTGTCTCCCACTCTGTCTCCCACTCTGTCTCCCACTCTGTCTCCCACTCTGTCTCCCACTCTGTCTCCCACTCTGTCTCCCACTCTGTCTCCCACTCTGTCTCCCACTCTGTCTCCCACTCTGTCTCCCACTCTGTCTCCCACTCTGTCTCCCACTCTGTCTCCCACTCTGTCTCCCACTCTGTCTCCCACTCTGTCTCCCACTCTGTCTCCCCACTCTGTCTCCCACTCTGTCTCCCACTCTGTCTCCCACTCTGTCTCCCACTCTGTCTCCCACTCTGTCTCCCACTCTGTCTCCCACTCTGTCTCCCACTCTGTCTCCCACTCTGTCTCCCACTCTGTCTCCCACTCTGTCTCCCACTCTGTCTCCCACTCTGTCTCCCACTCTGTCTCCCACTCTGTCTCCCACTCTGTCTCCCACTCTGTCTCCCACTCTGTCTCCCACTCTGTCTCCCACTCTGTCTCCCACTCTGTCTCCCACTCTGTCTCCCACTCTGTCTCCCACTCTGTCTCCCACTCTGTCTCCCACTCTGTCTCCCACTCTGTCTCCCACTCTGTCTCCCACTCTGTCTCCCACTCTGTCTCCCACTCTGTCTCCCACTCTGTCTCCCACTCTGTCTCCCACTCTGTCTCCCACTCTGTCTCCCACTCTGTCTCCCACTCTGGTCTCCCACTCTGTCTCCCACTCGTCTCCCACTCTGTCTCCCACTCTGTCTCCCACTCTGTCTCCCACTCTGTCTCCCACTCTGTCTCCCACTCTGTCTCCCACTCTGTCCTCCCACTCTGTCTCCCACTCTGTCTCCCACTCTGTCTCCCACTCTGTCTCCCACTCTGTCTCCCACTCTGTCTCCCACTCTGTCTCCCACTCTGTCTCCCACTCTGTCTCCCACTCTGTCTCCCACTCTGTCTCCCACTCTGTCTCCCACTCTGTCTCCCACTCTGTCTCCCACTCTGTCTCCCACTCTGTCTCCCACTCTGTCTCCCTCGTCTCCCACTCTGTCTCCCACTCTGTCTCCCACTCTGTCTCCCACTCTGTCTCCCACTCTGTCTCCCACCTCTGTCTCCCCACTCTGTCTCCCACTCTGTCTCCCACTCTGTCTCCCACTCTGTCTCCCACTCTGTCTTCCCCACTCTGTCTCCCACTCTGTCTCCCACTCTGTCTCCCACTCTGTCTCCCACTCTGTCTCCCACTCTGTCTCCCACTCTGTCTCCCACTCTGTCTCCCACTCTGTCTCCCACTCTGTCTCCCACTCTGTCTCCCACTCTGTCTCCCACTCTGTCTCCCACTCTGTCTCCCACTCTGTCTCCCACTCTGTCTCCCACTCTGTCTCCCACTCTGTCTCCCACTCTGTCTCCCACTCTGTCTCCCACTCTGTCTCCCACTCTGTCTCCCACTCTGTCTCCCACTCTGTCTCCCACTCTGTCTCCCACTCTGTCTCCCACTCTGTCTCCCACTCTGTCTCCCACTCTGTCTCCCACTCTGTCTCCCACTCTGTCTCCCACTCTGTCTCCCACTCTGTCTCCCACTCTGTCTCCCACTCTGTCTCCCACTCTGTCTCCCACTCTGTCTCCCACTCTGTCTCCCACTCTGTCTCCCACTCTGTCTCCCACTCTGTCTCCCACTCTGTCTCCCACTCTGTCTCCCACTCTGTCTCCCACTCTGTCTCCCACTCTGTCCTCCCACTCTGTCTCCCACTCCTGTCTCCCACTCTGTCTCCCACTCTGTCTCCCACTCTGTCTCCCACTCTGTCTCCCACTCTGTCTCCCACTCTGTCTCCCACTCTGTCTCCCACTCTGTCTCCCACTCTGTCTCCCACTCTGTCTCCCACTCTGTCTCCCACTCTGTCTCCCACTCTGTCTCCCCACTCTGTCTCCCACTCTGTCTCCCACTCTGTCTCCCACGCTGTCTCCCACTCTGTCCTCCCACTCTGTCTCCCACTCTGTCTCCCACTCTGTCTCCCACTCTGTCTCCCACTCTGTCTCCCACCCACTCTGTCTCCCCACTCTGGTCTCCCACTCTGTCTCCCACTCTGTCTCCCACTCTGTCTCCACTCTGTCTCCCACTTCTGTCTCCCACTCTGTCTCCCACTCTGTCTCCCACTCTGTCTCCCACTCTGTCTCCCACTCTGTCTCCCACTCTGTCTCCCACTCTGTCTCCCACTCTGTCTCCCACTCTGTCTCCCACTCTGTCCTCCCCACTCTGTCCTCCCACTCTGTCTCCCACTCTGTCTCCCACTCTGTCTCCCACTCTGTCTCCCACTCTGTCTCCCACTCTGTCTCCCACTCTGTCTCCCACTCTGTCTCCCACTCTGTCTCCCACTCGGTCTCCCCACTCTGTCTCCCACTCTGTCTCCCACTCTGTCTCCCACTCTGTCTCCCACTCTGTCTCCCACTCTGTCTCCCACTCTGTCTCCCACTCTGTCTCCCACTCTGTCTCCCACTCTGTCTCCCACTCTGTCTCCCACTCTAGCTCCCACTCTGTCTCCCACTCTGTCTCCCACTCTGTCTCCCACTCTGTCTCCCACTCTGTCTCCCACTCTGTCTCCCACTCTGTCTCCCACTCTGTCCCACATCTGTCTCCCACTCTGTCTCCCACTCTGTCTCCCACTCTGTCTCCCAACTCTGTCTCCCACTCTGTCTCCCACTCTGTCTCCCCACTCTGGTCTCCCACTCTGTCTCCCACTCTGTCTCCACTCTGTCTCCCACTCTGTCTCCCACTCTGTCTCCCACTCCTGTCTCCCACTCTGTCTCCCACTCTGTCTCCCACTCTGTCTCCCACTCTGTCTCCCACTCTGTCTCCCACTCTGTCTCCCACTCTGTCTCCCACTCTGTCTCCCACTCTGTCTCCCACTCTGTCTCCCACTCTGTCTCCCACTCTGTCTCCCACTCTGTCTCCCGCGATTGACGTGCTGATTGGCTCCCTCCGCTCCACCATCTTTGGCAGCAGCCCAAGGAACTGAAACGTCGGGTTGGGGGAAAGGGAGGGAAGGCTATTTTTGAGTCGACTCAAAAACAGACCAAGGAACTGAAAGGTCGGATTGGGAAGGGAAGGAGGTATAATGGTCCTTTCAACCGTGCATGTGCGTATCGTTGCACGGGGTGATCCATTGCATGGTATACGAGCCAGTGTTAAGTCCTCACTCAAGCCTTGGGTGCGAGCAATCATGATTCCGCGCGCACTTGCCTCGTTGTGTGGGATGATGCGAGTGAGCTGCTTCCCTTGCTTGTCATACACAACCATCGCTGCCAGCAGGGGAGACAAGAGGAGGATTGGTACGCAGGGGAGGAAATGATTATAAGGGGGATGAGTGAACAGAGGGAAGGAGCAGGTTAAGGGAGAGGGAGGTTGGAAGAAAGGACGAGGGTAAAGGTGCGATGTGAACAGGGGATGATTGAGAAGAGGGAACGAGCAGCAATCAATGAGAGTGGGGGTAATCACGAGCAGCAATCCATGAGCAGCAAGCAAGTGCATATGACGCTTACCATAGTTAACAGTGTGAAGGATGTATCCGTTACCCACACAAAGAGCAACGTCAGGAGGGGTACCACGGGGCTGAAACGTAAGGAAGAGGTTTATCAGTGCAAGAAAGGGGTTGCAAAGCAGATAAAATCAGGGAATTTTTGAATAAGCAAACAAAGAATCAAACGTACCACTGAACCGTTGTATTTAGGCGGTGTACCGCTGTTAACCTCGTCGTACTGGCTTATACCGGGAAATCCAACCGCCGGTTTCCGCTTCACCACTTGTTTCAGCTCCGTCATGCGCGCCGAGAATTCCCCCACCTCCGCCAATCGCTGCTCCTGTTTCATGGGAACGAACGAAATGGAACCTTGGGATTGCCGCGTTTCGCGACAGGCGCGTGCCCCCATCCACAAGCGTAACGCAACGCAACGCGCCCACTTGCACCCCACCAATCAAGTGTTGAAACTCGTAGCCATCTTACCGAAAGAGAAAGTTTATTGCCCTGAACCGTGGCCGAAATCATGACTTGAACTTGCATTGAGGTTCAGGTTACCATGATGCCTACCATGGGATCCACAGCGGGTGCGGGCGCGCTAGTAGCGGGCGCGGGCGCGCTAGTAGCGGGCGCGGGAGCGGGTGGGCTAGCAGCGGCATCCGGATCTTCCGCATCCTGCAGTTTCCGCTCGCTCCGCTTCTCAGAATCGTTGTTGCCCCCACTGGGGGCACCTTCGCCGTCGCTGGCGTTGTGGCTCGGCTCGCCTTCAGACGCCGCCAGCGGAAGCTGCGCGGTTCCGGCGAACCAGAGGTTCTCCGACAGCTTGAACACTTCCACGCGGTCGTTCGATCCGCGCATCGGCGCAATCAAGACGCGCGACGCCGCATTTGCTCCCCGCGGCGGAGCTAGCAGCGGCAGTAGATGTACGAGCAGGAGTGCGACGCGACGGTAACAGCAGAAGCTGAGGCGGAGGGGGAAGCGTGGAGTAGCCATTGTGATGGGAGCACTCGGCAGGGGTACCTCAGGTACGAACGCGAACGTTACGGTGAAATAGATTAGTGAGCTCTTCGCTAGACGTGAATTGCTTTGATAAGTGGAGAAGTGTGACTGCCAAAACGGTCACTCGGGGGCGATTCATGTCGCTCCAAGATTTCCTTGGCTCATCCCGGGCAAAATTGGGATGGCATTCAGGGGGCCTGCTTCTTTGTGCCGCCCTGCGCCGCCGCCATGCGGCTCGATATAAGGACGGCAGCGCGTACTTTTAGGGTTACGTTTACAGGTCAGCCATCTTGTTTGAGACGATATCAGTCGATGCACAGTTTCAATCCTCGCCGATTTGCAGTTTGACGCAAGAAGAATAAACTGTAAAAAAACTGGAAACATACGCGCTTCCGCCCTAATGAAATGACATACGGAAGACGGCTCGGGCCGCGGATTCAGCCGGCTCATACGCAACGCCATCTTGATATTAGAGCGCGTCACGTACCCCTCGTTTTGTGGCAGGTGACTCCCAGCCCAGTTCCCTGTAAATGTGGTGTGGACCCAACCTGCACGGTTTGGTCGACCAGATCGGTTGGGTTGGGTACCCAGGATACAACCTGCAAATCTACACACCCACCTGTTTGTGCGACCCATCCATGCAAATAGTGTTTAGGGCAGACCTAACATTAGCTGCGCCAATGGTAGTGACCCGACCAGCCCCAAAAAAGATGGGTTCGTACAAACTCTCTTTCCACGTTTCAAGCGACATGTCAGCACCATACACTGAATCAAATGATTGTTCTGGTAGTATGCATTGGCCTGTTGGGAAATTATCAATTACTAGTTATTTCCTGTACCACTCTTATCCTTAATTTCTTCTAGCATAAGTTTTAGCCCATGCGTCCAAACCAACGCAGTGCACACTACCTAACCGCTCTCATCCCAGTCTAAAACACAAAGTTCTCCTCCACAGAAGAGTCCAAATCCATGTTGAACCCTCCCTTGGACACAATCTCCGAGAGCGAGGCGGCCGTCTCATCGTCAATCCCAAGGAGCTCGCGCATGCGGCCCGCAGCGCTGCTCTCGGCATCGTGCTTGCTGAGGAAGAGCGAGTAGAGGTCCAGCAGCTCCTCCTTCACTGTCCACTTGAGTGCCTCCGTTGCCGAGTCCGCCTTGTCGCACGCCAGCATGTTGTTCAACACTGCCACCTGGGACGTGGGAGAGAGGGGATGGAGGGGTAACCAACCAAAATCATGTGAGTGAGGCAGATGGGAGTGACAAGGTGTTCAAAGGTGCTGTCTGCCAGCATGTTGCGCAGCATAGCAACCTGGGACGGGGAGGAAGGTGGCGATTGAGCAATGTGGATGAGACACACACACACGAAGGAATAACAGGGGATTGCGGCGGCCCCTGCCTTGTCGCACACCAGCATGTATGGTAAGAGGACCGGGTTAGAAAAACAGTGCGAGAAGGAACAGACGACCATCAACAGCCCTTCACTTCCACAAACCCTCAGCCAACCTCCCCCATCCCACCATCCCCCACCACATCACCCCCATTCCCATCACCACCTGTCCCACCATCCCCCATCCCTGCACACACCACTAGGTCGGGCTTCTTCTGTCGGAGGTTTGACACGGCCAGCACAAGCGATCCCTTGAGCCGCTCCCTCGCAATCCCCTTCACCGTTTTCCGCGCCACCTCCTCCTCTAACCCCAGATCCCCAGGCAGCTTCTCCAGCAGCTCCTTCTCATCGAAATCCCCCGTGCCCTTGTCAAACTCCTTCTGAACCAGCTTGGTATACATCTGCAGGCGAACCTTCTCGGCCACCATACTGCTGATATCCACGCCGCTCTCCTTCAGCTGCTTCACCTCGTCCACACTCAGCCTCCCCGCCTTGATCGCCGCGTCGATCGCGCCCGCCATCTTCGTACTCGTTATAGACTGCACCACCTTCTGCGCAGCAGCGTCCGGCAGGCCCAGTTCGCGCTGCATGATCTTCAGCTGCTCTGCACGGGCCTTGGTAAGCTGCCCGTCAGCCAGGAGCGTCTGTGCTTGCACCTTAAACGCCTGCTCCGCCAACCCCTGATGCACAGACGAGACCTCCGGAGGGGCCAACCCGAGAATATCCCCCAGCTGTGAAAGGCGGACAAAATCCGAAGTGTCCCTCTGGACAGTGAGGCTAGTTCCCATGGGCATCCCGGTGGTATCCCCTTGCAGGCAGAACAGCAGGAAAGACTTGTATAGGTCCAGGCGTTCCCTGAGTTCCAAGTCATCCTTCACAGACACTTCCTTCTGTGCCTTGCCCTCCTTCTGCTGCCCCTTGGTCTTCTTCATAGACTGCAGCAGCGGCATCTCGTCATCATACCCCTCCTCCTCCTCCGCCTCCTTCTCCTCCTCCTTCTTACCCTCCTCGGCTGTCACGGCCGGGCCCGAGCCTTCGCCGGTCGCTGCCGAGCCTGCAGGCTTGGTGGCAAGCTCGTCGGTCTTGCCTCGGATGTCGTCGAGGAGTTGGGAGACGGTGAGGTTGGAGAAGATGACCATCTTCTTCAGCTCCCTCGCTCCCTCCGCACGGCTCATGGTGCCTCGTGCGCGCTTGATGTACGTGAGGAAGACGGCTCGCACCTGGAAGGGAGGGACATTTGGACAGCGGGAGAGGAGGAGAGAGGGAAGGAAAGGGCGGGGAGGAAAGGCAGGGAGGAAAGCGAGGTGAGGTTGGAGAAGCTGACCATCTTCTTGAGCTCTCTTGCGCCCTCCGCACGGCTCATGGTGCCTCGTGCGCGCTTGATGTATGTCAGGAACACAGCTCGCACCTGGGAAAAGAAAGACTCAGAGGGCGGGAGAGCGGGGAGGAGGGTCATGTACAAGGAGGGGAGGAAAGCGAGGTGAGGTTGGAGAAGATGACCATCTAAATGAGCTCCCTTGCACCTTCCGCACGGCTCATGGTGCCTCGTGCGCGCTTGATGTATGTCAGGAACACAGCTCGCATCTGGAATGGTAGAGGACAGAGGGCGGGGAAGAGGGGGAAGGAAGAGACGCTCATGCCTCATTGCCTCCTCACCTCTCGAGGGGGAAGGAAGAGACGCTCATGCCTCATTGCCTCCTCACCTCTCAGAAGCCTTAGTCCTCTAGGAGGGAGGGAGCAGGGAGAAGGCGAGGCTTCAGAGAACGACCATATCTTTATATGCTGTCTCTCTTGCACCCACTATCTCGCCCACTGCTATAAGGCGTCCACTCACGGCAGCAGCAGCCGGAGCCCTTCGACGGCAGCGCGCACAGCATCACGCATGCATGTTGTGTACCCCATCCTGTCCCCATGTTTTGAGCCGTCTCAAAAGTTTCGAGTTTTGAGCCGTCTCAAAACCACAGCATCACGCATGTTGTGTACCCCATCCTGTCCCCATGTACTCACCGCCTTGGTAGCAATCTCCAGAGCAGACTGCAGTGGCAGTCGCAACCCCTTGACAGCGGCCCACACAGCATCCCTCATGTCGCCATCGTAGCCGTCAACAATGCCAGCTTGCCCCTCACAGCCCCGCAACTGTCCCCATCCAACCCCACACGCACTCACCGCCTTGGTGGCAATTTCCAGAGCAGACTGCAGTGGCAGCCGCAGCCCCTTGACAGCGGCCCTCCCTCGGTTGCTGCTTCCCAACCAGCCCAGCACTCCCCAGCCCCAACAGTGTACTCACCGCCTTGGTAGCAATTTCCAAAGCAGACTGCAGCGGCAGCCGGAGCCCCTTCACGGCGGCCCTGACAGCATCCCTCATGTCGCCATCGTAGCCGTCGATACCGGCGCCGATGGCATCGTCCACCACCTTGGTGAAGATTCCCCCGCAGATGTCCCCGTGGGCCTTGTCGACCGCTGACTTGGGCACGCACAGCAGCACGCGCAGGCGGTTCAGAGCTGATACGTCCTCGTCGCTGAGAGACTTGTCCGCCAGACACTGCTGCAGCTTCTGCCGGTAGATCTCTGCAGGAGAGGAGGGGGGGAGGGGTAGGTGGGGGAGGGAGGTGGAGGAGGGGGGCATGCAGTGGAATGGGGTCAAGTGCGGTGAAATGATAGAGATTTTCATCGCTCTTTGACGCGCCTTAGTCCCTACCCAGAAAAAAACGCACTGGACTGATTAAGCTTGTCAGAGTCAAGCTCCTGCAGCACCACTTGACACCGCACTTCATGCCTATCCACCGCAGAGCACCGCACTCCATACCTTCGTGAATCTGAGCCGCCTTCTCGGGGTCGAACTTGAGCGAAACAAAGAGCTCCTGCAGCACCTCGGCCTTTGCTTGCCACCCTCTCAGTATAAACCCAGCCAGCCACACTCCACCGCTTCATACCGCACAAAACCGCAACAAAACTCCTCGACACACCACCCCATACCTTCATGAATCTGGGCAGCCTTCTCAGGGTCGAACTTGAGAGAGTCGCAGAGCTCCTGCAGCACCTCGGCCTTGCTTGCCGCCCGGTCCAGTTCGCCGCCCGTGACGAGGTTCGCCAGCTTGCGGCGGTACACCTTGCGCGTCACCTCGTCTGATGCCTCCTCCGCCTCCCTCTTGCCCATCCCAAAGGTATTCCTCAGCTCCGCCAGCGCTTCCGTCTGAGTGAAAGGGCATGGACGGGACGTAATGGCATGTGTGAGTCAGTCACATCACACATCAGTAAAATCTCGTCTGATGCCTCCTCCGCCTCCCTCTTGCCCATCCCAAAGGTATTCCTCAGCTCCGCCAGCGCTTCCGTCTGAGTGAAAGGGCATGGACGGGACGTAATGGCATGTGTGAGTCAGTCACATCACACATCAGTAAAATCTCGTCTGATGCCTCCTCCGCCTCCCTCTTGCCCATCCCAAAGGTATTCCTCAGCTCCGCCAGCTCTTCCGTCTGAGTGAAAGGGCATGGACGGGACGTAATGGCATGTGTGAGTCAGTCACATCACACATCAGTAAAATCTCGTCTGATGCCTCCTCCGCCTCCCTCTTGCCCATCCCAAAGGTATTCCTCAGCTCCGCCAGCGCTTCCGTCTGAGTGAAAGTGCGGGAGGTTGAAAGGGGGAAGAATGTTTGAATAAGGGAGAGGCAAGGAATGTGCTGTGACCTGTCGTCACCATTCAGTCAGTCGGATCAGATCAGCACCCTTAACGGCATGAGTGGCATTTTGAGCGCCTCTGAGAGGTGCGTCTTGTAGAGTGTGGTGCGGTGCAGTGCGGTGGAGATGGGTGCAATGCAATGCAAGAGTACCATGTGCTACCAAAACCCACCTGGGCGGAGGAGAGGCGGGGGGCAGTGAGGGCCTCAGAGAGGTATGTCTTGTAGAGCAGCTTCAGATCGTCTGGTGCGGTGCAGTGCAGTGGGGATGGATGCAATGCGTGTACCATGTGGTTTCTAGACCCACCTGGGCGGAGGTGAGGCGGGGGGCGGTGAGGGCCTCCGAGAGGTACGTCTTGTAGAGCAGCTTCAGATCGTCCATCTGCCTGGTGCGGTGCGGTGCAGTGCGGTGGAGATGGGTGCAATGGAATGCAACGTGTACCAGTGCTACCAGGACTCACCTGGGCGGAGGAGAGGCGGGGGGCAGTGAGGGCCTCTCCGAGAGGTATGTCTTGTAGAGCAGCTTCAGATCGTCTGGTGCGGTGCAGTGCGGTGGGGATGGATGCAATGCGTGTACCATGTGGTATCTAGACCCACCTGGGCGGAGGTGAGGCGGGGAGCAGTGAGGGCCTCCGAGAGGTATGTCTTGTAGAGCAGCTTCAGATCGTCCATCTGCCTGTCCGTGTCGTACCCGCCACCTGGTGCAGTGCGGTGGGAATGGATGCAGTGAGATGCCATTTAATGAGATGGGATGCAATGCCATGCAAAGCAATGCAATGAATTGCTATGAATGGTAAGTGAAGCAGTACAAAGCAGTGCGAAACGCTTACGAGCTGGCGCGCAAGCAGGCTAATTATACGAAACTTTGCAATTCACTTGTAAGCTCCCAAAACGAGAAGGAAAAAAAAAAAAAACTAAGAAATCCGAACAGCTGGAGCGACACGTCACAGAGAGGCGCACCGAAGACGGAGACGGGGCCGATGCCGGGCAGAAGGTCGTCGGGAGCGAACAGACGGTGCAGAAAGTAAAATGGTTACAAGCATAGCAGCTAGATGGCGAAGAGAGGCGCACCGAAGACGGAGACGGGGCCAATGCCGGGCAGGAGGTCGTCAGGAGCAGCAGCCTTGGCGAGCGCAGCCAGATGTGCATTGTATGCCCTCATGGCATCCAAGTCGTCCACCACCTTAGCCGTGTCCCTGGGGTGATGAGAGGGGGTGGAGGGGAGGAGGGGGGGTGGGGGGGGGGGGGGGTGCGGGAGGGAGAGGTGAGTGGGGGGTAAGGGGAGAAAATGGGTACGTAGTGGCGCACTGAGGATCTGCTGTCCCTCCCTGCCTGCCAGGCAGCCAGGTGCGCATTGTATGCTCTCATGGCATCCAGATCGCCCACTACCTTCGCCATGTCCCTGCGGTGATGATGGGGAGGGAAGGGGAGGAGAGGAGGGAAGGACGAGGGAAGGGGGGGAGAGGAGGGAAGGACGAGGGAAGGGGGGGAGAGGAGGGAAGGACGAGGGAAGGGGGGGAGAGGAGGGAAGGACGAGGGAAGGGGGGGAGAGGAGGGAAGGACGAGGGAAGGGGGGGAGAGGAGGGAAGGACGAGGGAAGGGGTCTGACTCATGCCAGGCTCATGCGCGTTTCAGCCAGATGCGCGTCAAGGGGTCTGACTGACTCATGCCAGGCAGATGCGCGTTGACACCCCCTCATGCAAGTTCGGTCGCCCACCACCTTGGCCATGTCTCTGCTTCACCACCTCAGGTTTGGGGTAAGGGGGTAATGGGGGAGCAGGGTATGTGAGGGAGGGTCTTTTTGGGTGCCTGGCCTGGATCACATACACTAAATCCCCTTATGCCAGGCAAGTGGGGGTTCACGCCCTCCTCTCCTCGTGCCATGTCATCAGCATCAAAACCCATCTTGGTTTGTTCTGGTTTCTTGTACAGCGTCTGTTTCGCACACCCCTTCAAGCCCTTCGCACATCCCCCCCTTGCAGTCACATTCACTTGATGCGTATGCATGCCTTTAGCTCCTCCCTCGCCCCCTTCCCCTTCTCCTCCCCCGTTGCAGTCACACTCACTTGACGCGTGTGCGCGCCTTGAGCACCTCTAGCGCCTCGTTAATGTATTCCTCCACTCGTTTCCGAGCCTCCGCCCGAACCATGTCCGCAGCAAGCTGAGAGGTTCGGAGGGTAGAAGGCAACAAGAGGGTGTGCATCAAAACCGAGCCCCAGGTTTGAAACATACTCCTGATAGTTGTGAAACTTTTATGGTTTATAAGAATGTGGTGCACTCAGTCGGGTGTAAACCATTACAAGCCAAATTTAGCATACAATACATTGCACTGTAACGAGTGTTACAGTAACGAGAATGCAGTGTAACCAGTCGGCCACTCACATCGTCCGAGAGCTTGTACTTCTTCTGCAGCGCCCGGAGTTCCTTGAGGTTGTCCACTGTGAAATCTGATTGGTGGAGAAGAAGGGCAACAGCAACATAGACAAGTTGGAAACCCCACAGAGCAGCAGTGACTGATGGTATCTTCGTTTCATATATTTAATGGCGACCAAAAAGACCTCAGTGTTTTCGTTTCATGTCTTAGCAGTCCCGAACAGAGGGTGACGGCGATGCGACCAGCTCAGAAGCACACAGCAATGCGACAATTTATACAAACGGGGGAGCAAGACCGCCTCTCACCTCCCTTGCTGGCGTCGAGCTGCGCCTGCAGAAGCGCCTGTGAGTTGTTGCGCACGGCGATGTCGACCTGCGCGTCGCTGACTTTGAAGATGCGCTTCCACGGCAGCAGGAACTTGGACTTCTCGCCAAACACCAGGTTCGACACGTACACCAGCTTCTGGAACGACTGCAGTCGCAGGGAACGGGGGGAAACGGCGAAAAGGGGGGGTGGGGGGGATGGGTGGTTAATTAGCTGTCTAGAGACCAGCGCTGTTGCCGGACATAGTCGAATGCTTAAACCCCGAACCCTCACATGCCACGTCCATCTGAATCCATCCGACGTATCAAATCCTCTTTAAATGGACCTCCACCACGTGCGAGGACTCACGTACTGCCAGATGTCAACCACCTCTCTGCAAAGCCACTCGCCACCTGCCAGCCACCCGCTAACAAGTCTACGAGCGTACCTCTTCCAGTCCTACACGACCACTTGCTTCTCTGCAAGAATCTCGCTCCTTCGCCCACCCCTCGCTCCTCCGCCCACCTCTTAATCCTTCGTCTGCCTATCAATCCTTCGCCCGCCTCGTAATCCTTCGCCCGCCTCGCAATCCTTCGCCCATCTCGCAATCCTTCGCCCATCTCCCAATCCTTCGCCCATCTAGAAATCCTTCGCCCATCTCGCAATCCTTCGTCCACCTCGCGACCCTTCGCCTACCTGTCGCTCCTCAAAGGCGGCCTCCTTGTCGCCCGTCTCCAGCCTCTGGCGGAAAATGCGCCGCCCCACCTGCACGGACTCGCACATTATGCACCCATTCACACGCACGCACAGAGCCATTAGCTCGATATGAACAGTGGCGTCGGCTTGACATGAACAGTACTGTTAGCTCGATATAGACAGCGTTGTGAGCTCGCCACAAGAAGAAAAAAACTTCTTCACTCGATATGAACAGTGAAGGCGGCATACGACGTTATGAGTAGTTTATACATACTCGATAAGAACAGCAATACATTCGATATAGGCGGTCCCGTACCTCGATATGAGCAGCAGCCGCATCCTCGTCCTCAAGGCCCATCGACGCCTTGAAGCGCGAGATCAGATCCGACTCGTCGCCCCTCAGCGGCTCGTTGCCGGGAGGAATCACGGACGACACAAATCTGGAGCGCAGGAGAGGGGGAGGAAAAGAAAAGTGAGGACCGGAACGCGTGTCAGTGACTCGACATGATAAATCACATAGCATGGGTCCCAAAGGCCACCGTGTTAGTGCGATTTGTTCCCATTACTTTTTATTTGTGGTGTTGTGAGAAAAGAAAAGGAAAGGAGGGAGCCGACAAAGAGGGGAAAGGGGAAGAGATAATGGGGAAGGAGCAAGAGAAGGGAATGCTTACTTCTCGTAGAGATCCTTCATTTCCGCCCGGTACCTCTCATCCTCCAAGCTCACGCCATACCTGTAAAAACCACAGAGGCGAACAAAGCCACGAAGTGTGAAATGCTGAGAAACATTCACAACGATCCATAATATCCGTGTACATTAAATCGACATTATTGCGCAATAATATAAATGACGGATTGGATTAGGAAAGAAAGGGAGCTCCCAGTCCCAGCTCACTTGTTTGCGATATCCGCAGCCTCGCCTCGTCTCAGTTGAAGCGGATCCGATAAGCGCACAAGCGTGTTGTGCAAATCCGCCGCAGCGACCTCCTTACTAGCAGAGTTCACCACGTGCGCGGCTCCCGCGCCAAGCGCGCCGAGCACCACGGCACCAGCCACCTGCCCCACAGGCGGCTGAAACTTGCTGCCGGCCGCGAACCCCACGCCGGCAGAACCAACGATAATCGCGCCGCAGACGGCGTATCTAACCGGCGTCGGCATGCTCTTAACGACACTGGGAACGCCGGAGAGTTCGACCTCCCGGCCGAAAACGCTTCCGCTGGAGCTCCTGCTGGGAGTAGCATCGGCCTGCTCTGCTGCTGCTGCACGGACTAGGGTTTTGCTCGACGCGCTGCGCCATTGCTGAGCTGGCAACGACGAGGCGGAAAAGCTCTGGCGGAGAGGTGTTTGCGTGGCACGAAGGCCTTGAAAGCTTGGAAGCGGCCGCGTTGTGCTTCCTTTTAGGAGGAGCGACTCCATGCCTGTCAACTGCACTTCCAGTCGAAACTACAAGAGACAGTCGAGAAACGATAATCGCTTAGCCTGTTTGGGCACTACAGAGTACCGCGGTAGGGCTAATAGGGGTGTGATACCGTTCCCAACAGCAACCCGACGAAGTTCGCTAGGCGAAACAAGGTAAGGAAGAGAGGTAGAGAAATGAGCAATGAAGCAGATAAAAAGGTTGTGACATCACAACTCTTTGCTGGGTGAATGTGTTTTAGTACGGTGCGGAAAGATTCCAGAGCGTTGCAAACAGCATGCGGTATGGTGGAAAGGCTCAAAGCTTCCTACCTTGGGATTCTCCCAGCCACTCACTGCCTTGTCAATTGTGAGCTCAGTGGTGTGATGATGACACAAGGATACTCGTTTCAAGCTGGGTCCTCGAGTTCATACAATCGCAATCGCCAAGGAGGCGCTATCCTCACCAACTTTACTGGAGCCCGAATCCCTGGATGCCATGTCATGGATGGGGAAAGGGGTTGGAGGAACTGTCAGAAGCTGCCACGTGGATGATGAGACAACGCAGCTGAGGATGCCTGTTTCAAACGCGCTATCAGTGCATTCCGTAATTGTGTGTGATTGGCATCAATTGTTCTATACAGTACTGAATTTCTTTACTGTATCAACGGCTGAATGGTGATGGCCGTTGTGCAGTGGCTCGCGCAAATATTTGGCGCAAGCGCAGAGGGAAGTTGGCACGCCGCCACAACCACATCGAATCGCCCCGACTCTGAGATTGTCGCACAGGTCCCATGATCCCATCCCAGCCAGCCAAAGGCCAGCACAAAACACCTCGGCGGAGAGTTGGCTGGTTTGGCGCGGAAATGTGGCACTTTTCAGCCTTGGAAGCCGCTTGGAATGGGATGGATGGGTAACTTTCTGGGCTCCTGGATAATTGCTCGCTGCCAGCCCTCCAACACTACCATCCATGCTCCTCCTGAAAGCATTCCCCTTCATGCATCGTGTAAACTTCGACCATGGGCCTCGAAGTTGCCATTCTTTCTCATTCTTCTTTGTGATGCTTCATCACTCGAGCAGTTTCTATGCTAGCTGGTGAAATAGGCTTGTCTGGCAGCATATACGTGGTATTTTTTTCCAGTCTCGTCTCCTAGACCAACTACCAGCACATTGCAAGGAGCTGTTGCATGTGTTTCGCGTTTTGTTTCTGAGGTAATGCTGGTATGCCGCCGAGTCCAATTACACGAATAAGTCAATCCTAGACGCGAAATGGCGGTGACTGGTAACAAGCGAGGCCATGCTAGCAACATCGCCTTCGCGAACGTCGACGGAGCGAGGAAGAAGAAATGCGTCGACATCCACTCGCTGCTTACCGTCACAAAACCATTGTCTGCTCGGGCTTTAAGTCACGCAGCCAAGAAACAGACCGACCATACGAACTCGTCAGCCAGCATTCCCGTGAAATTAAGCGAGATTTGCAACGGGAATGTCGCGGGACGAGGAACCGTACAGACGCGACTTGCTGTACAGAGAGGAGGGCTTGTCGACAAGGCGACATGGACGTTCAAGCCCGCTTCGGAGGCACGTGAGAGGGCGAGTGGGAGCAACTGTGGATCCGTGAGCGACGCCGGAGAACAGCTAGTGGTGGATCTTGCCGAAGACGACGACGAGCTGTACGAAGATGCAGACGATGTTACCGAGTTACACGGCCTGGATGTGATCAGAGAAGCCGGATCGTCGCAGGACGACGAGGGGGACAGCGACGATGAAAACGAGGAGAACAGCGACGAGGCGGGCTCTGACGATGAGAACGAGGGGGATGTGGAGGAGGTGGTGGTGGTGGAAGGAAACGTGCGAGAGGTGAAGCAGCAGCTTCACAGAAGCGACCGCTCTGAGCCGCCTGCAGACGCTGGGCTGGACGATTTGAAGTGCCACGTGTGCGGCCGGGAAGACGGCGAAGACGGAATGCTTGTGTGCGACGGACGTGGGTGTAACCGTGGTTACCACCTCTGGTGCCTGCGACCAATCCTCGTCGCTGTGCCCCTCGGCCAGTGGTTCTGCCCTGACTGCCGCCGCCCAGCCAAAATCAGAGGTACGGGTTCCGAACCGAAGCCAGAGGTACGGCACTGACCTTCCCTTCATCGAACACTGAGTCACCCTTCTACTAGTAACTCGCCTGTATCACACCCGTACTCTCGTCTGCTATTTATCTTGCACGTTCTCGAATCCCGTTTAGTCGCATGTCTCACACACCCATTCCTCTCAACCCTTCCCCACCCCTCTCCCTCCCTTCCTCACTCCCTTCCTCCCTGACGTCCCCCTCTCCCGCCGCCCCGCCTCCCTCAAAACCGTTCCCCGCGGTCCCAGAATTCCCCCTGGTGCAGAGCTCAATCGTCGACTTTTTCCGCATTCAGCGCCCCCCTGGCCTCTCACCTAAGAAAACACCTGCCGCGGCCGGCAGAAGCGCCGGCAAACCTGATGTAACCCCTGCTAATAGGACACCTGGAAAGAAACCTGTCGTGGCGGGGAGCGGGGAGGGAGATAGCAGCGGGCAGAGCAGCGAAGTTACCACACGGCGAACGGAGCACAGCCGACAAGCATCAAGCAGCGTGGTACTGGGTGCTGGTGATGCGGCGGCTGGCGGTGGTAGGAGTAGGAGCAGGAACAGCGCAGATGCTGACTGTAGGAGCGTAGGAGCTAGTCAGACTCGCAGCGTAGATGCTGCTAGGATTAGCATAGGCGGTAGCTCTAGAAACGGTGCTGACTCTAAAGGCTTAGGTGCGAGTAACCCTAGTAACGCAGGCGCTTCTGCTAATAGCGGTTTGGGCGCCTGCAGTGGCTGTTTGTGCAGAACTAAGCGCAGCACTGCCAGCAGAAACGCAACGGCTGGTGGCGGCAGTGATACCGGCGGGAGTGGGAACGAGAGCATAATCACCGACACTGACGGCTGTAGGGTAACTTCTAACACCGGCGATGGGTTAACTACTAACACAGGTAGCGGCAGCATTGCTTCCCACGCCAGCAACAGTTGCGGGAGAAAGAAACTCCCGAGCAGTGGTAGCAGCGGCAGGAGGAAGAGGCAGACCCGAGTGAAGCTGAGCAGAAAGCTGTTCCCCCATCGGCCTGTCCCGGACCCTGAGAGACGTCTGGAGCAGCTTAGGTCTCTAGCTACCGCTCTGACAGCTATCGGGGCGCGGTTCGTGGATGGGTTGGATTACCCCTTTAAAGCCGTGCCTAGGGGGATGAACGAGCCAGGGAGGGAGGTGGGGGGGATGCAGGTGCTGAGTCGGGAGAATGTGGGTGTTTTGGAGCGGTGCAAAGAGATGTGGAGGGACGGAGCGCCTCCTCCACTAATTGTCAAGCACGACCCTTGCCAAGGGTAAGTTTACTATAAATAGTAAATGGGCCTAAAGTAAGTTCTTTCCACACCCCGTTCCCACACCTCATCTCCGTTCCCACTCCAACCGTCCTTCCCTTGTTGGCAGCTTTGTAGTGGAAGCGGATGCGCCTATAGCGGATCGCACGATCGTCACGGAGTATGGGGGGGTGGTGGACAGCATGGCGCGGAGGCGACACGACCCCTGCGATGCCATGATGGGGTTGCTGTTCACGGGGCGGGATAAGACGGATTTGGTCATCTGCCCGGATCAGGCGGCAAACTTTGCGCGGTTCATATCTGGAATCAACAACCACACCAAGTGAGTTGGCTGTAAGACAATAGTACCTGAGTGGCCGAATTTTGCTTGTTTTCTGTGTGTGGATCTGCTGTCCTCATTCCAATGCCATTGTGCCTACTGCCCCTAGAAGCGTCCTCCCCATGCACAGTCCCTTGCTGCTGCCCCTCGTTATTGCCTCCTTCACACTCAACCTCTTTCCCTCATTACGGTCACCTTGTTTGTTCCCTTCCCCCTTTCCCCCCTGCTCTTCCAGAGAGGACTGCGGTAACATCAACCTTCGGTATGGCCCTCCCCAGTGTGAATGGGGAGACTCCCACTCCCTCCCAGGGAGAGCTTTGCCTTCACTCTTGCCCACACTCCGTTTCTCCCCTTCCCTGCCCTTCTGCTCTCTGCCCCGCTCCTCCCTGCTCCTCCAGAGAGGGTCGCAGGAAGATCAACCTGCGCTGTGTTCGCTTCAGTGTGAATGGGGAGGCCCGTGCACTGCTGATTGCCACCCGGCGAATTGCCAAGGGCGAAAGGCTTTACTACGATTACAACCGCCTGGTGCATGAGTATCCCACCATGCACTTTGAATGACTGCAAGCGCCTCTCGAGTCACCAAGAGCGCGAGTCTGCATTTTGGTTACGAAGCACTGGTGGCCGGTGCGTGTGTCTCTGAGACCGCGCCTCCAATGATTGTATCGGAATTATTCACTTGGAATGTGATGTTGTACTAGACGCATCTCCATAGTACCGTACCGTATCAAATGCCGTCTCAAACTCTTGTTTCCAGCCACCTGCGCACTAGTTTGAACGGCTGAATGACAATGCAGTTGGAATGAGACAGCTGAATGTGAGATCTGGGCAGAGAGACCTCCTCAAACGTCTCAGAACTTCATCCCTGGTGCATTTGGTGTACGTTTCTATCCTTACCGTACATCCAATCCTAGTCACATTTGAGTCCCTCCGTTCCCAAGCACCTCCCACCAATCACCATCCACCTTTAGATGCATTACATCCTGTGGAAACAATTGCAGCAATTTAGTCTGTTCGTATACCGTATGATACATACCGTGTAGGTACATGATTATGGCAGTACAATGACTGGCAACACAGTTCTATTTACAAATAAATGGTGAGCAGCAGCAATTGCCATCTCAATTGCCATGAGGTGGCGCTCTCCGATTGGTTGCAGTGGCTTCCAGTTCTCGCACACGTGCCTGTACACATGAAGAGAGATATACAAAGACAATGCAGCCATATCGGCAAGCAATGCAACCTCGCTAACAGGTAAAGCAAAGACGATATGCACAGGCGCATGCAAGGGAATAGGCATAGAGACCTGCTGCTGCGCCTTGCTGCATTGCAGCTTCATGAGAATGACTGCTATTGCGAGTGGATTGCCTGGAAATACAGGTACTATACTCACCTCCATGCTTCTTATATACTGTGCTGCAGTGCTGATGATGGAGCCAAAGTCTTGCTGCCCCCCCAGGATGCCAACTGGCAGGATGGCCCTGAGTGACTGAAGTGACTCACTGCAGCACACCCATTAGGAATGCAAACCAGAAGAGCCAAAACACCTTAGCCATAAGAGACAGAACATACTCTGAACTGGATTCATAGATGAGTCGCCTAAAGAATCACAGGTGAGAGCTTCAAGCCCCACAGCAGGTGAAGTGAACGAGTGAAAACTAAAAAAAGCATGGGCAAAATAATGAGCATGGGATCACAGTACAGGGAGATACGAAGTGGGCAGAAGAGGGGATGCTGGAAAGGGTCTCTAAGAAGGAAAGGGAGCGAGATGAGTGGCAAGGGGGGCTACACCCCTGGTTTAGCTGAGGCTAGCCAAACATATGCATACCCTTGGGAAATAAGTACCCGTGCCACTTACGCCATTTGTCTTCTCCTCTCTCTGTCCCTTGCAGCGCGGGGGTGCAGCGACCTCCTGCCTGAGCTCCCCGCAGCGCCCACATCGCCCCCGTCGCTCCCCGACTTGGATGTTGTGGTTTGGGGTGTCTCACGCAGCAGCCTCCGCCCCACATTCCCCAGGGCCCCTCGGTTGTCCCCACCGCTCCCCGACTTGGACGCCGTGGCCTGAGGCTTCTCATGCAGCAACCTCCGCCCCACGTTTCCCAAGGCCCCGCGGTCGCTCCTGTCGCTCCCTGATTTAGATGCCGTGGTTCGAGACGTCTCACGCTGCAACCTCCTAGCGGCATTCCCCCCTGCGGTTGTGTCTCCTCCTGGGAGTCCTGTGCTGGTGGCAGCAACAGGCATGCATGCAGCAGCACCATCCGTACTTGTAGCAGCGACATGCGTGCTTGTAGCGGCAACACCCATGCTTGTCGCAGCACCACCCATGCTTGTAGCAGCAACACATGTGCTTGCACCGGCAGCATCATAGCTCTCGGCTGGAGCAGAAAAAGGGAGTCTTACTGCACCAAAAGTAGCACCAGCAGCAGCAGCAGCTGCGCCAGCGACACTTGTAACCGGACCAATGGCATCGCCATTGCCATCTCCGGCAAAAAAGGGACCAGGAACAAACGCGGTAGCCCTCGCAGCAGGAGGCGACATAGCATCGAGTCGACGAGCAGCGGGGGTGACGGAACCCTGACGATAAGAATCAGAGAAAAGGGTGCTGGCTTTGTTGTCGGGCGGAGGCAAGGGAGTTTCGTCCATCAATGCGGCCAGCAGCACCTGCTGTATTTGTGCTTGGCTTAGCAGTTCATCTGTTCCTCCCCCCGCCCCTTGCAGCTTCACTGTATCTGGCTGCAAAAAATCAAACGGTCTTGTAGTCACACTGTACAAATTATCCTCGTTACTGGGTAGTTGCACCGGAAGTGCAGGCACAAGCTGGTTCGGCCGTGGGTTTGGCTGCTCCATCTGCTGGCTTGGCTGTGGATTCGGATTCGTCCGCGGTATTGGCTGCCTCATCAAGCGCCCTGGCTGCTGTACATTCGTGTCATTTGAAAAATTGGACCAACGAACCCAATCTGGACCTTTTCCACCGTCCGATGGACTCCATTTCGTCCTTTTGCTCATTTCGTCCCTGATCTCATCTTCCCGGTTGTGCTTCGCCAGCGTTCGCACAAGCAGAGGGCGGGTTTCTTGCAGCTGAGCCTTTGGGTACGAGTTACCAAGCTGGTAGTAGCGTTTCGCCATATCGCCAAGGAGTCCTTGTTCCTGCTGCTCGTGCTTGTGCTTGTGCTGCTTCTCGTGCTGCCACTGCTGGAGCTGAAGCATTTGATGTTGCGACGGTAGCTGCTTGGTTACCAGTTCTTGATTGCCTTCGCCGAAACAGCCCGCGAATTCCGCCGCGCTTCGCAGGTTCGTAAAACCCGCTTTTCCGACGCCGCCACGTTGGTCTGGAGCTGAATGAAGGATTTCGTTCAGCTCGTCCGTCACCGTCTTCAGTTCGTCCGTCAATGACGACCTTATTGTTCCTCGGCGTCCAACTCCGGCGGCGCTAGACGAGCCGCTTTCATCGCCGCAAACCGCGGCATAGCATTTATCCTTCGCCGGACTGCCAGTGGAAGCTGGATCTTCGCAACCTCGCGCTCCTAAACCTATCGAGCCCCATCTGGGACGCATTTCCTGTCTTTCTCGGGAACCCGTGTTCGACGGCCTCGGGGGTGATTGCTGTGAACCGCGAAATCCTCCGCTAATTCCGTCTAAGATATTCGCAGCCGTGGCGAAACGACCTGACGCACTTATTGAATTTTCTGCAGCAGCGAGTTCCTCTTTGGCCTGAGAATCACTATCGGAACCCATTGTGCTGGCAGCTGCTTCGACAAGAACATGCGGCAACAGCGGGGGGAAAGATAGATGCTTGGTGCTACTAGTAGTGGAATTTGTTTCAGCGGCCATGAGCAAGAACCTTGACCTCTATTGCGAGCTCAAAGTGATACTTGAACAGCAGAGAAACTCATCTCTCCTCTCACGCCGCTTCCTCGTTTTGTAAAGCTGTCATCGTGACGTGTTGAGGTCCTCGACGCGCCGCAATTTTGCTTTTCTAATCAATGTTGAAGCTGCCACGAAAATGGTGACGATGCAGCCAAATCCAGAGACCAGATTGCGATGTAAATTGAAGCTCACGACCAGCAGCAATGTGGTGCGGGCTGAACGCTTATCGGACATTGAAATTTGAAATGCGCTAGTTTCTGGCGAATAGCATGACGCCGTTCCGCCCCATGCCATGTAGAGTCGGTTCGCGACGCGACGCGTTGAGTGTGCTTCGACGATGATGCATTTCTGGCAGCACCACCGCCTTCTGATTTGTGAGCCCCCTAAGGTAACAGAGAGTGACTGTACCCTCGCCTTTCGCGGCTTGTGCACGGAAGGAGCGGCTGAGATGAGAGATTTTCGCGAGGACTACAAGTTCAAACCACCACTCGTCCGCCGCGTCACGCGCGTCCCATCGGCGCACGCGAGACGATGTATGGAGAGTCTTGTCGTTAGTTTGTTGCAAGCAAACAAGACCGACAAACACCCGTCGTGCGGATGAACAGAAGTTCTGCTCCTAATTTGTCTTGCGCGACCCGCTTCCCTTCCGCACGCCCTTGCGACCTGCCAAGCTGGCGCCGGACAAAAGCGAGCACTCGTCCTTTAACGCCTTTCGTCGCGGAGGAAGCAGCTTTGTTTGGCCGCTTTCGTCTCCTAGTAGGGCCCACTACTGTCTTCCTGGGCGGCCGCTTGGCCAGCACAGAATCCTCAAGATGCTGCAAGCTGATGTGGTAATCCATCGTCGTGGCAATTTCGGATTGGTCTGGGCAAGAGCTACCAACCAGAGTGTCACGACACTCCAGCACAGAACCCCGTGTCGTTACACCATAGCCTCCTATTTTGTAGGACTATGGTGCTTGCGGTGATGTGGACCCACCCGCTGGTGCTGATTAAGTGGGGGTGAACAGTGCTACACCGGCATGCTAAAACGACTGTGGCCAATAGTCACAGCGGACTTCCGAGAAGGTGTTCACTATGGAAAAGACCAGCAATCGCCAGCAAGTTACCCTACAGCATGGGCGGTGGTGGTGGGCATGACAGTGGCAATGCGCTCTGAGAACCAAGAACCGAGCAGCACCGTGTCGAAACAAGTACAGAAGAAGTTGGGTGGATCGGGTGGGGGGTGCGCGTGCGGAAGAAATGTGGCTGATGGGAGCAAGCATTTTGAGGGTTTCAGGCGTAGAATCTTGCCAGGTGCAGGAAGCATGGAGACATCAGCTGCATCCCACGTTGTTCTACGCTCAACAGTTGCAGCTCCTCGTTGTTTTGATCACCTGAGCAACCAAGCAACAGTATACTTTTGCAAGCAGGGGTTTCAAAAACCTTAGGAACTTGAAAACTGGTTACGCGATTACAACCCCAACCCCCTGGTTGACAGGCGAAGTGAGTCCCCCAAACACCCCACGTCCGACTCCCCGCACTCGCCAGTTCAAAACCTTAGGAATTGCAAAAGGGAAACTGAACTGTGGTAGTGAGAGGATAGCCCACACGCTCCTACTTGGGTAGGTTATTCCGCGTAAGACTAGGCAACATTCCTAACCGAACAGCTAGATTTAGGGACAGAATCTGTTATTGAACCGCGTACGCTGTTTGCGCGCATGCGCGAACAAATCGCCACGCCTACGCACTCGCTTAGGCCACGCCACCGTAGACAAGGCCGCCCCACGCCTCCTCTCGCTGCCTCACCGCGAGGCCACTAGCGACAGCGCCTCCCCTCCCCACAGAGTCCCGTTTAGCTTCGACGCGCTAGCATCTGCCATCCCCATCCCTTCCTCCACTCCTAGCTCGCCGTTCGCCGTTCGCCGCGCGCGGTGAGCCGCTGCTTCCCGCTCGCCGCTCGCGTGCCCTCCCTTTCACGTTCGCCGTCCGTCGTTCGCCTTTCGCCGGACGACGTCCGGAGTGAGTCTCCCCTCGCCGAACCACGCTGCCTCGTTCTTTTCTGGTTTATTCCCATTCGCGGCTGCGCGAATGCTTGGTTCATCGGACTTGGCTCTACGTCTCCTCACGCGGCCCCGTCGCGACCACCGCCACGCCTTCTCTCCTTCCCCGCCACGCCATCTCCCCTTCCCGCCACGCCAACTCCCCTTCCCGCCACGTCATCTCCCCTTCCCGCCACGCCATCCCCCCTTCCCGCCACGCCATCCCCCCTTCTCGCCTCGTCATCTCTCCTTCCCGCCACGCTATCCCCCCTTCCGCCACACCATCTCCCCTTCCCGCCACGCCTTCTCCCCTTCCCGCCACGCCTTCCGCACGCTCATCCGCACAACGCCCGCATTCCCCCCCCCCCCCCTGCACGCCCTC